AAGATGGTGAGAGGAAGGGACAAGACAGGTTGTCTAAATCAGCAGCCATGGCAGTGAGAGGCCTATACATTTAAGGCAGGGAATGCTAATTGCTACTGAAGATGCGGAATCAAGGTGGAAACATGAAGCAGGGTTAAGAAATTTCAGTTGTGGAGATCAGCATAGGTTATGTAAAAAAAGAAAAAGTCATTGTGCTTGGTCTTGAAGGATGCAGGGGTTGTTATTGGGAAGAGGGATGAGGAAGGACAATGCAAGTTGATAGAACATACTGACAACAACAGTAAGATGGATCATCATATAAAGTTAGTTTGATTTGTGACATTTGTGTCTAAACAAATAACTCCAGGGAGGAGGAGCCAAGGAAATCTACTTGAATATATAATGGCCAGGGAAAGTAGGTTGTAAAGAGGTGGGATTAAACCACATACTATCCTTCTCTGTTGAAAGATCCCTGGCTCCAAGGGGATTATTACTCCATGACCAGCTGTGCGGCTGGGAGTTGTGTGAAACCTTGATGGTAAGGGGAATGAGCGCTGCCTGGATGATGTGCTGAGTTTCATTACCAAATTATTTGGAGAGACCTAGGAGTTAAAATATGATAGAAGGCAGATGACTTTAAGGAATTAAAAGAAAATCATATTTTAAGAATCAAGCTTGAATCGGTTGGTGTGTTTACAGCCAAAGTTATATTTAATGTTACAGATGTCGGTGTTTCTTCTCTGTACTAAAAATGGTAGAGGATAATATTTTGACTGGATAAACAAGTTAAAGATGTTCAAATCCTAGTATAAATGCTTGGAGCTGAAGGAAAGACCTGTGTTACATGATTTTTTTTGTGGAAGACCAGAGGTGTGTGCTTTTAATAAATGACATTATTTTACACATAATGCTTTTAAAACTTACCTTTCCCAATGGAAAAACACACACACACACACACACAAAACAACAACCAAATTTTTGGAAAAAGCCCATCTTAGTACATATAGATTGAATGCATGTTTAATATATTAGTTTAGTTAGCCGACTCCCTACTGATCAATATTTATATTGTTTCCAATGGTCTACTTATAAAAATGCCACAATCAACTTCTTTTCTATCCTTGTATGGGCCTTCTTCATGTGAATCCTTTCTTATTCCTTATAATTGGATAACCTTCAAATGCTGTAGACTCACCACATTTAAGAGCAATGACCAACAATATCCATCAAAATTTCTGAAGCCATTTCCTTTGGTCAGTTCTAAAGGTTAGGTAATACTCGCTGTGATTTAGTCAAATACACCTGAGAAGCTGCTGAGACCCTATCCTTAACTTTGGAACATGTTTTCTCTGTTCTTCTGCCTGCCTGTTCTCAGGACTAGCTCTGTCCCAGGGGTGCAGCTGGAGCAGGGCAGAGTGAGAACACTCTTTAAGTGACAAAGTCCATGATTCTCCCTCCAATTATTCATCAGAGCTTTGTCTAGTAGTATATCATAGGGAAATACTTTATTTGGGATGAAGAAGTGGAATATCTTCTCTTTAGATTGTTATTATAACTGATTCTTTGCGATCCCATAACCTGGACCAATCCCTGAAGGATAGCAAAAGGTAGTTAAGTATAATTCACAGTTGAGTGATTCACCCATCGGCATTTCTTAGCAGTCCAGGAAGGAGTCAGACTATGATAAAGATTTTGTTGATAGGATTATTACTGCAGCAAGGTAAGACTTCCTGATACCTGGTATAAAAACAAAAAGCCTTTATGTTTTACTAGGACTTTAACAAAAGAGTGGGCACCGAATGTAGTGGGGCGAATCTGTTGGAATCAGAAGAATGCAAATATCCAAGTGAGAGCACAATGGTTCTCTGTTTTGATAGTGTTGAACTTGCCAAGTTCATCTTTGTATCACGGAGTTAGCTGCCCTCGATGACAGGGATGCTTTGTTTTAGAACACAGGACAAGTATTTAAAGGTTTCTTGAATATATCATTAACAATTCTACCCAATAACTTCTTGGTATAATTTTTGACATTCTTCACAAACATTCTTATTTAACTCTCACAACAATGCTGACCCAGCAGGATAAGCAGTGTTATGGATTAGCCAGATTAGATGGCTTGTCATGGCCAAAACACAACCCAAATCTGTCTTCGTATCCATCAGTTCCCTATATGCTGCCTTCTGAAAGAAGTCCTACATTGAGACAGAGACACATATTTACACAGGAGCCAGAGGAAGCCCGGGGAATTTTGAGGTGTGCTGTGAAATTCCATACTGCTTATCTTTTGCTATTTGACTATCCGTAGGGCTGTAAGCTTACACAGATCTCTCATAGAGGCGTCCAGGTACTGTAAGTCAACTACTGCTTGGTCTTTGCCCCTTGTTCTGTGAGATGAAGAAGGCCTCAGGTGCATTTGGCTCGGTGAGGCTCAGAAGCACTTGTATTTGCTACGTGTGTTAATAAAGGCTGTTTTGTGTGTGTGTTCCCTATCAGAATTGAGTTCCCTGCCTGCTCTGTTTTCAGACATCAAGCCTTATTTTGATGTGTTTTTCTAACTCTGTTTCCCAAACGTGTTTGATTGTCAGAATCACCTGAGGAGCTCTGATTTCTATGATCAGGCAAGCTTAGGAAACAACCTTAGCCTGATCCATTAGACCTTTCTCTCAGAGTTTAATTATTGAATCCTGTCAAGAACCAAGAACCATAGTGTGTTCCTGCAAGCACTTGGTGTGCGTCCTTCATTGCTCTCGGCAATAAAGGAAATGAAACAACAAAGAAGTTAGCAGACAGGCATTCAATTCCTAAGGATCCTTTCTAAAATCAGGAGAGACTCAGCAAGTGTTGTGCATTTGAATAATACTGACTCATTATTTCAACAATGATTTGAGTGCGTACTATGTGCCAGGCATTTGCGCTAGGTGCTGGGATATACAGCTGTGAACGAGGCAACTAACATTTTTGGAAGTCCTTATCATGGGATGGATACCAGGCTAACTGCTTCACATACTTTTTCTGATTTAAACTTCACAACTCTGCTTGAGGTAGGTATTATCACCTTCATTTTGAAATTAAGAAACTGTTACTTTGAAACTTTGAACGACTTGGCCAAAGTCTCAGATCCAGTAGCACCGATCTCGTGACATCCAGAATTAACACCCGGTCTGTCGGATTCCACAGCTCATGGTCCTTATCCCACAGATCTTCTGCTTTATCTCAGTATATGCGTCTCTTTACTCCTCCCTTTCTACTTCAAACCTGGCTACATGTTAGAATTGCCTGGGGAGCTTTTAGAAAGTACCTTTGCCTGAGCTTCACTCAAATAAATTAAATGAGAATATTTCCTGGGGCCATTTCGTAAAAGCTCTCCGGGTGAGGCCAATGTGCAGTGATGGTGGAGAACCACTCAGCATCACTAATTGACATCAAATAGACACGGATGTGGCCAGACCAATAGTTTCCAGCATCCATCTTGGGTCATTTGGTTGATTAAACGTTTAAAGGCTCCAAGTTATTTTTCTTTCCTTTTAGTTGAACTGAAAGTAGTAAAAAATATAGCAAATATTTTAATAAGGCAAAAGTTTCCCCAAAGAGCGACATGGTAATAGACCCATGTAAAGAAGAATTCAGAAACTTGGAGATCTCTTTGCAGGGGTAGCTAGTCTAGAGTGAGTGATGAGAAGTAACCTGGTCTCTGGATTTCTCTTTTCTGCTGAGAACCAGAGAACCTGAAAACTCTTATTCTGATGGGGGAACAAACTTTGAGACAATGGTGCTTCAAGAAAATTTCCTTTACCGTTGGTGAGAAAGGCATAAATCAACTTATTTTTCTCGAGGTCCAAGTGAAAGAAAAATAAAAGCTAAATAGTTTCCATCTTGCTGATTTGGATGTGTTAATATATGTACTCTAGACTAATTTTATTTGGGAAAAAATACTCTAAATGATAGAATAGATATCTAATTTTTTTCAAGCTGTTTGAAAACTCTTAATTGCTCAAGCAATGCATGTGTATATACTATATAAAATTTTAAGTTAAGAATTCTGTATTTCAGGCTTTCAGCACTCTGTTAACATCTGCAATGTGGTAGTAATGTCTTGCTTTGTGAAGATGGCAATCTAATTAATTATTGACTCCACTAATTAAATCTCATTTTGCTGGTCTTCAACAAATGAACTGTGACTGGCCTCCTAAGAGAAGTTCTTTTCCAAGCATATGTATCAAATATTAAGAGTAATCACAAAGTTGAAGTAATCACAAAGTTGTGGTCTATAAAACTCCTAGAAAGAGAAAGACAGGGAAAATAGATTTGGGGTCACTGTATTTCAACAAGTTGGAGGCACTTTTGTGAGAAGAAAAAAAATCAAGGCTCCAGGAGAGGGAAGACTTTTTTAAACTAATGGGTCTTTAAAGAAAGAAAGAATAATGACTGCTACTTTACTAACTTAAGGGTGAGTCTTATCTCTGCATTTTAAAACCTAGTCATCAATGCTGATAGGATAGTTGGATCATAAAGTTCCATTACAGATGAGTAAGTTATGACCATTACTTAGAAGAGTCATTACCCAGAACAAAGTAAACAGAGGAAAAAGAAAAACATGAAAAATGGCCTCCTTTTTTACATTTCCACATAGGTGATCTCCATACCAGGAGTTGAACTTGAACTTGGTTGGGCGGGAGACGGACCTGGTTGGGCGGGAGACTGGAGCCCCTCAGAGAATTTGGGATTCTTCCATTTTTACTGGGAGGGTTGGCAGGTATAACATGTGTTGTTATGTGAGTCCATGAGAGCCTCCAGGGTTCTAACTCCCTGCCTCTCCGTGTGGTGGGGAGTCAGTTGCTCACTCTGAAGCACTCGACTGATTTCTGTCTGTGGCTTACCCATGCACAGTGGCTTGGAAGTGTCAAAGCATGAGAAGCATGCAGTCCAACAGCATGTGCTGCCGTCACCTTCTACATGGTTCTGCATGGGAAAGCTCGGGGGCTGTCTGCCCCGAGCTCAGGTCTTCCCTTCTCTCCTCACAGAACTCGCTGAAGGCTTCCAATCGTAAGAAGAAGAGAACGAGCTTTAAAAGAAAAGCCAGTAAAAGGGGAACTGAAGTAAGTGTTTCAGGATCATGGTCCAGTGAAATCCATACTCCTTTCCATAGCCTGCCCAAGCTTGTTGTTTTGATAGATCTCCCACCACTCTTTTCTCCTTCACTGTACTCTAACATGTGGAATTCTTAGTATTTTAAAAAATATAACCTCTGCCACTTCACAGAGCATCTGCACTTGTCCAGGGAAGTGTTATCCCAAAGATGATAAAGAGCTAACACTTCTAGAATGTTTAGGGTATATAGAATAAAACCAAAAACATGACTCAATTCTCAGCAAATTATACCTTGAGAAACTTTCTTCTAAGCTTTACAGAGAGTGTCCTATTAAGAGTAACCCTATGAAACAAGTTGTACCTTGTGGGTTTTTTGTTTTTTGTTTGTTTTTTTGTTTTTTTTGCAAGGGTTGGGGTGGTGCTGGCGGTTTCTCCAATTGCTTTGGGGCTGCCTGTCAAGTCATGGATGTGCATCTCAGTTGTGCTGTTTTCTTCCTTCAGCAGGAAAACAAAGGTCGTCCTTTTGTGATAAAACCTATCTCTTCTCCTCTCATGAAACCCTTGCTTGTGTTTGTGAACCCCAAGAGTGGAGGCAACCAGGTGAGTCATTGTTGATGAGTTTAACTTGGAAGCTGCAATGCTTTCTTAAAAACACAATTCCTAACACCGCAGCGGTTCTCAACCTGTGGGTCGCGACCCCTTTGGGGGTCCAACGACCCTTTCACAGGGGTCGCCTAAGACCATCGGAAAACACATATATAATTACATATTGTTTTTGTGATTAATCACTATGCTTTAATTATGTTCAATTTGTAACAATGAAATTGGGGGTCACCACAACATGAGGAACTTGTATTAAAGGGTTGTGGCATTAGGAAGGTTGAGAACCACTGGGGTAAAAGAACACCACCTAGGGCCCCTAGCTTTAGAAGACAACCACTTTCTCAGGGACAAGGTTGGGGCACAAAACAAAGCTAATGTGGTTGACTCCATGATTTTGGCCACCTGAGCACCACATGCCCACTATGTCTCATGATGGCAGTCATTGTGTAAAATGCACTCGGGAAATCATGATCAGCTTTGTTTCTAGGGCATACAGACACTCACAGGTGATCCCTGCCTTTGAGTCCAGTAAAGTGGGAGCCCTCTCTGTATAAATAATTAATGCAGGGACTTCAGAGATGATCTGATGTTGCTTCCTATTTCACTAATTACAAAAGAGCTCAAGGAAGCTTAAGTGAATTTCCTAAGGACATCTTGTCTGTTAATGACATAAAAGGGGCAATGGGAAGAATAATTCAGACAACATTAATTACATGTGAGTTCTAAATTGAGTGGCTCAGACTACAAGTGCTACAGGTTTTAGAGGCAAGCAGTGACTTGGGAGTGATAAGGAAATGGTGTCATGGAAGTAGCTGAAACAGAAGATGGACATACTTAGTTAGGCAGAGGGGAGAGAGCTGGAACAGTGCCCTGCTCCTCTTTACTGTGGCAAATCCCTGTTTATCCTCTAAGGCTCAAGAGCACCTTTCTGATCCCTTTCTCAGACTTGACTGTGCTGTGCATTATGCCCCTGTAGCCCTGGGCACTCTGTCAATTGCAACATAAGCCTTCTCTGTAGGTTTATACATTGAAAGTACAGGCTTCATAATAAATACCAGGGGCTGTACCTTTGAACCTATGATTTCTAGTATATGGTATATACTAGTGAACAATAATTATGCAAGAATAAACAATATTAATGGGAGAACGGATGTCGTGATAAAATGATTTGTTTTGAGGACTGTATGGTGAGTGGAGCATGCATATTATTCAAATGTGTTAGGTAGAGATTAGAATGAGCCAGGACCAGTGTCTTAAAACTTGGCTGAAGATTTGGATGTGTACCAGGGAATAGTTTTTTTTAATTTAAAATATTTTTTAAATTTGAACAAAAGAGTAATATGATGAAAGCATCTTTAAGGAATTAATTTGATACATTGAGAATGTGTAAGTCAGGAAGAGCATAACTTGGAAAGATGGATTGGTGAGTGGATGTGTGGATGGATGGCTAATAGATGAATGCATGGCTGGTTGGTGAGTGGGTGGGTGGACAGATGGACTAGTGGATGACATGTGATTGGACAGATGAATGAATGGAATCCATAAAGGGAAGTAAAGCATCAAGATTGTGCAGCAGATCATCTAACAGTGGCTTTGTTATTGATGAGCATTCAGGAAAGGAAAGCATTATTGGGAAAGAGGTAGAGCTGTGTTTGAGGAACTTGAGGTCACAGGGAGATATTAAAAAATGTTTAAAGTGCCCAGTTATTAGAGACAAAAGACTTATGATGTCATTTAATGCATTTTGGCTTGTAAATGTATTACCCTAAGGATGTTACTTCTAGAATGGCTGGGATTCTTAGAAGGATGGCTAACCAAGTAAAAGTGAATATTACATAAATTTAAATATCTATATACTCTCTATTTAAAATAGAATTCTGTATTAAGCCTAAGAAATACAAAGAACCTTGTTTCTAAGCACAATGTGAAATGCTGATAAAACTATGAATAAATCCAATCACTTATGTACAATTGGAATCATTCACACTGACCTCCAGCACAGTATATTTGTGATTTCATCTGCAGGGAGGAAGGCACAGCTTGATCCCCTGACTGCAGCGAGTAGGGAAGAGTCCTGGTTGGAGATGAACTCACTCCTCTGTTAGGGCTAGTCTTTCCCTGAACTTGGGCTATAACACACCCTTAACTTTGCTGATGAGGGTAGATTCAGCCATACATTGGGAATAAGAGGTTAGGTTCTCCACCCTACACAATACCCTAGGTAGCTTTAAAAAAAACTAGTGAGGTCTTAGTAATTAAAATAGAAGCTGTGAGAGTAGGATTCCTTGACTGGTATAAACTCTCCTGTTTATTTTCTTGTGGAACCAATGTTGAGAGCCACGGACCCTCTTCTCAAGCTGGAATGTACATATGAATCGCTTGGGGATCAGGTTAAAATGCAGGCTCTGACTCGGAGTCAGCCGGTGGCCCTGAAATTCTGCTTTTCCAACCAGCTCCCAGGTGGTGCTGTTGCTGCTGCTGAGAGCACACTGACCAGCGAGGGCTCACGGCTGTCAATACAGAAATACGTGGTTGTTGTTGTTAAATCCTGATTCTTGCCTTTTAGCCATGACTTACTCTACTCATCTGCCTCTGCATATAAAGCACTCCCCACTCTTGCTCTTCTGTTCTTGAGGCTTAGGCTTTTAACTTTAAAAAACAAACCAAAAACTGGCTTAGGCTTCTGTTCTTTATATAGCTAGACTATATCGCCATCTTCTGGCAAGTAAAATACCTACAGTTTTTTTCTTCCTATCGTAAATTGTGTGGACAGAAAGTTTCTAACACTTTGTTGGAACTTAGTTAGATGACCACATATGGGGATTAAGCACTTCTATGTCTTTTAAACAACCCTGTCTTTTAAACAGATGCTTCACAATAACTGTCAGGTTTTTTTATAGAATTTTTGTGATTTTTTTGAGCCAAACTGATAATTGCCAAGACACAAAATCCTAATGGACTGAGAAAATGCTTCCTAATTTTCTGTTTTTCTAACACTTAAGGTGGAGAAAATGCTGCATTTTTTAAAAGATTCAGAAGTTTTCAGCACTGTTGTCGTTGTTGGGATCTGCACTATCGGAGGGGACAGGCGGTGGAATCAGGGCCACGGTGTCCACCCTGCGTGTGTCCTGTGCACAAGAGGTAGCAGAGGGAAGATAAAGTTTCCTCCCGCACAGTCCCCTCCTCTGCTGGAAACCCAAGGGCTCCAGAAATGAACACTCTCTCTTACACTCATCTCTGCCTTAACTTCAAATCGGATTCTTTTTCTTGGGTGTCTCTGAGTCATTAACATCTTTCTACCTGAGTCGTATGGATCCTTCTGATACCTCTCGATGTTTCCTGCTTTTGCACCATCTCTCCCTCACGCTCTCATCTTCCAGTGATGTAGGTTGTAAGTTCAGGGTTAAGCAGGTGCTCTGACCACTAGGGTGATTCTAGTTAGTCAGTCCTGAGAGGTGAGGGGTCCAGACCCTGGTTTCCAAACGGTTCCATGTGAAATCCTCAGGTTAGGGTATGGTATGAGTTGCCCCTCTGGATTGGAGCTCCCGGGGAACTTGTAGGAAGGGGTGTTCAGTCTGTGGGCAGGCTCATCCTGACCAAGTTCTCACCACCATCTGTGGACAAGCTTCCCCAGACCGAGCCACCCCCAGACCAGGGCTGCCCCTTCTACGTAAGTCAACCAAAGTGGGGAGAATGAGGAGACAAAAAATATCAATAACTTCAAATATTTGAGCCCCAAACTGTTTTTAAATACTCAAACAACCTCAATGAAAATGTTACGTTCTGCAATGCTCAAGCTGGGGATAAATCAAGAATCATTATGCTTAGATATAATTAGAGTCTCCTAAAGCGTAGGATAGGCTGGGAAGAGGGTAGAAGGGCAATCAGTCGATGACGGCACATGTCAGAATTCTGTCTCAGATCTTCTTGTCAAGCCGGCTAAACAGATGGAATTGAAGCAACCAAACAATGAATCTGTGGAAAGCCCCTTTTTCCCCAAGTCACAATATTGGTGGGAATGTGAGGGCAGCTGTCTTAGTCAGTTCAGCCTGTGAAGCCGAGTACCACAGACTGGGTGGCTGATAAACAACAGACATTTATTTCTCACAGTTCTGGAGGCTGGGAAGTCCAAGATCAAAGCCCCAGCCAGTTTGGTGTCTGGTGAGAACTCACTTCCTGGTTGACAGACAGCGTCTTCCTACTGTGTCCTCATGTGGCATTTGGGAGGAAGGAGCTCTCTGGAGTCTCTCCTATAAGGGCACTAATCCCATTCTGATGGCTCCACCCTCATGACCTAAGCACCTCCCAAAGGCCGCACCTCCTAATACATCAGATTGAGCGGTAGGATTTCACCCTATGAATTTTGGAGGAACACACTCAGTCCACAGCAGTGGCCAAGAAGACTCAAACCAAGTCATCTAGCCCCTTTCATAGATCTAGAGCCTGGATGTCTAGCTCCTTAGTCTGTAGCCAGACAAATGTATCAAAATGTAAGTCCATCGCCCCCTAATCAAAACATTTCAGTGACTCTTACCTTTTGTTAAAAAAAAGCCCAAGCTCCTTAGCGTACATGACCTAGTGTACAAGTCAGGCTGTTTTGTTTCCCGAGACCCCTGCCTCATGACTCAAAGACTGAATGGAACATAGTTTTTCTATGGTGTGTCTTTATCCTAAAACTTCTTCCTCTACTCATCTTTCAAGACAAAGTCTAAGTATCATATGTAGGTAGCCTTCGCCTAATCCAACGGTTCTCAACCTGTGGGTCACAACCCTTTGGGGGTCGAACGACCCTTTCACAGGGGTCGCCTAAGACCATCAGAAAACACATATATAATTACATATTGTTTTTGTGATTAATCACTATGTTTTAATTATGTTCAATTTGTAACAATGAAATTGGGGGTCACCACAAAATGAGGAACTGTATTAAAGGGTCGCGGCATTAGGAAGGTTGAGAACCACTGGCCTAATCCCAAAATTGAGGCTTAGAGTATCTCTGGCCTCTCATACTGGTCAGTAGGCATCTCTACCATCACATTTACCATATTTTTTTAAAATATGTTTTTATTGATTTTTAGAGAGAGAAGAGAAATACTGTCTATAGTTGCCTCCTGCATGCTCCCCACAGGGGATTGAGCTATCGAACTGTGACCTCTTGGTTCCTGGGTCAATGCTCAACCGCTGAGCTACACCGGCCAGGTGCATTTTCCATCTTTAATGAACTAATATTGATCTCCTCCTGAGATCTTGGGTGTCCATGTGGGCACAGAACAGGAGCCAAATACGTTTTTATGAAGTAAATTAGGTATTTCTTTGGGGTGGTTTGAAGCCAGTTTCAAGTACTTATTTCTTAACCTCTTCCTCCCACTCCCTTTTATTTTCCTTGGGCCTTTCTTATTATGTGGACAGTTTTTTCCATGATCATGATAATAACTCTGAATTAACAACTGTGATAATTGCTCCGTGACAAGGCTCCCTGAGTAACATCCCAATGTTTCAGCCTACATGAGAATGGCAGTGTTTTCATGAAGATTGATGTGCTGTGTGAGCTGACCCATCCTTAACTGCTTCTCCATACTCCCAAGTCATTATATTTTAATTTATGAATAATGTATAAAACTTCCTCGCGAGGCAAAGATCTTCTCTGTCTAGTCCATCTTTCTGTTTCCTCACATAAAACCGAACCCCGCACATAGTGGGTGAGTGGCTGAAACCTGTTAATTTCCCTCGAGAAACAATCTACCTTTATTCTGGAAAGTCGTTTTCTCTTCTCCCACCCTGTTCCCCAACACCAGGAGCTGGAAAGAACATTTTTATCACTCCAGGGAAATACCCAATATCACAATATCTTAAAAAGTTCTATGGCCAATGAGGTATTACATCTACAACTGTGTATAAGGACTCTCTCCAGAGTGTATTGGAATTAACTTGTAAGCTATTTTCTCATTTAGAGAAAACTAGACTCGCACAAAAGTTGCACATCTTTTGCATTTGGCACATTGAGACTTGTTAGTGAATGACAGTTGTGTGAATAACTTAGTATATTTAATACTGACAGTGAGAAAGCAAGAAATTGATCTTTTCCTGGTGAATTAGTATTTGTCAAACCATTCTGTTCTATTGAATAAATTGCCTCTATTAAAGCCCGAAAGTAGGTTATCCTAGAGTTAATAGCAGAGTTAATAGAACTGACTTAATGTCTGTTAGATCTTTTTACTACACACCCACCAGGACTGATTTAAAACAGTGCAATGCTTTCATTCAGACACATCATTTTTTTGCTGATTATGTTGTAGAAAGATTATTTTTGAAAGAAGAAATTATATAATGATTGAATGTAATATAAGAATGCTATGCAAGTTATCCCCGCGCAACTGCAGAGGGCATTATTCTAATGGGCTCTAATGTCAATGGCACCTCCTAGAGGTGTGCAGTGAAAAATTTGTCAGCCTTAATACCCCTTCCTCAAAAGGATAAATGGAGACACTTAGGTGTTCCAACTAACACAAAATGAAAATGAGCAAAAACGAAATGGTGTCACTCAAACTTTCTAGAGAAATTTTAGATGAAGAAAATAACCTCTAAATGCTTTGTAATTTTATTTCTTAGAAGATATTAATTACCTAGTATTGTATGCATAGGAGAAGAAGCTGAAATTGAGACATGCACTCGACCATAGCCAAAGGTGGAAAAGAGTAATTAACATCTACAACTCATATTGCTCTAGGAATCTAAAGCTGAAAAATTAATTTTCTAGCAAGTCATTAGGAAATTTTTTGTAAATTGGTTTGTCCTTAAAATGACTCTTAAACATAAAAGTTTACTTGGGATAATCCTCAACGGACTTGATGTCAAGGCGCAGTGTGGAAAGAAAAATACATAGTTGGCATTATGTATCTAAACCTATGTCTGAATTTTACACGAAGCAAACTATGTCCTTTGGTGAAACTGCAGGATTAGTTGTAATAATCAAGGAGAAAATGTTATTGCTAAATTTATAGCAAGCACATGATGAAGCAGAACTTTTAAATTATAGGTTTGGATGGAATTGGGACAAAAGACCTGCATTGGCCTCTGTAACAACTGGTGTAACAGTGTGATAATTATCAACTACACTCTAGCTCTCACACCCTCAAGTGTATTTTAATGAATAGATTAGCAGGGAGCAAAAAAGAAAGGGACTAACATTTACAACAGGCCTATTTTGTGCCACGTACTGTGCAAGATACATAACTATTACTGATTCATTTAATTCTCATAATCACCCTAAAAAGTACACGTTGTTCTTCTACTTTATATGCTGAATTTCTGTAGGGTTATAAATGCTCATGCTCACCCACTTAGAACACCCAAGTTACTTTTAACTCAAATATTGTGCTAGTTCTACCATACTAGGATAACCCTCAAATACAGCATAGTAGGTGTAAAACTTAGGGTTATTTTGAGAAAGAGCAACCATGATATTTAATAAAGGAACTATAATGGTAAGCAACAAACTCTGCCTACTGATCAAATATTATTTGCTGTGGTTGATAATGATCTAAGTAAGGCACCTTACCCATTTTGAAAGCTCTTTGGATGCTGCTTAATAAAAAGATTCCTCATTTCTTCCCTGCTCAATTCACTTCAAGAAATTATCTTTAGAAATGCCTTGTATTGGTCATGATGATCATTTCTATAAATGTCACATTTACACTTCAAACTTTCCCAAAATGTTCATGCGTGACAGAAATGTTTGGTTTGGACAAAGAGTTAGAGGCATGGAAATTTAAAAATGTCAAATAAGATTTGATACCACTAACTGGAGAAGGTATATATGTGTCGTCTACGTAACGGGAAGCCTGTGATACTTTTGCTTCAGTTAAAATTTTTTTCAATAAAGTCATACTTAGCTGATACTGCCCATATTTCATATTATGCAAAGACAATAGCAATCTGCACATTAAAGTAAAAATTAATGTTAAATTACATAGCTGACCAATCTTCCCTGCGTGGATTTTCATACATTTAGTAATGATGGTAAAACTAACAGATAATATCTATGGAGCACTTATTGCATGAGAAACACTGTAATGTGCCCCTCAAACAGTATGGCATTTTATCCTTGAAACTAGTCTGTGAACTAGGCATTCTTGTCTCCACATTAAAGAGGAGGGAGCTGAGCTTAACGAAATTAAGGAACTTGCCGGAGTTAGGGTAGGCTGATGTCTAATCTGGGCATTGGCCAAAGACCATGATTTTAACTACTGCTCTAATTTGTTTATAAGTGGGTATTATTTCAGATAATGGGTTTTATTTTTTAAATAAGCAGCTAATATTTGGAAATTTCTTCCCACTATAGTCATTTTTTTTTCTTACAGGGAACCAAAGTCCTGCAGATGTTCATGTGGTACCTGAATCCACGGCAAGTCTTTGATCTTTCTCAGGAAGGGCCGAAAGATGCGTAAGTCTGGATATACCCTCCGTGGTCCGTACTGTCTTAGGCAAGTGAGAAGGACTTCCTGCTCTGGCATCAAGCTTCGTTATTCGGTTGCCTTGTGAGACATTTTCTAACTGTCTCTCACCTCCCTTCTCATCTGTACTGTCCTCCCCTTAAAACTCTATCTCAGGTTCCCCCTCGCACTCTTCGTTGGGTTAATTCCCTTCAGAGCACATTTCACAGTTGTTATCTCAGTGAGCATTTTTTATGTGTTTGCTGCTGCGTGTGTCTGTGCAACTGTAGATTATGAGCCAGTCTGGGAATGGAGAGGATGCATCACTTTTCTGTTTATGCATGAGCAGCTTTGGACGTGTACATTAATGGGGGTGTCAGTGTGTCTTTGTGGGCAGGGGCCATATTTGTTTATGAATATATTCATATACATTTGAATTAGATCATTCCATCTCGGAGAGATTGATTCATTGATTATACCTGTGGATTTCACATCAGCGTGGGGGGGGGGGAGATATTTTAATTTCTGCTCAATCCCTTTTCTGAGCTCCTCAGAAATTTTACGCACGGTTTTTTGTTAGAAGTGTTGAAAATCAAGTCTAGATGTAGGTGACGTGTATCTTATTTCTTCCCGTTGGAGGAGGGAAAGAGTGGGGACATTGTGCTGCTTTCTGATTCCCTTTATAAATCCATCTAGTAAGACAGAATGGGTTTCATCTGATAAAGCTTATAACTTAAGAGATAATAATTCTTTTTAAGTAAGAAAGTAACTACCAGAGGCAAACCTCAGCTTCTGACACCAGCGACCCGATAGGGACCTGCCAACTGTAATGAAGTTTGTTTTCCTTTGCTTTTGACCCTGTGTACAGTTATGATGCCAGATTAAATTTACAGCAGCTTCACGTTGTGTTGTGATATTTTGTTTTTCATAATACAGTTATAAAATATATTTTGTTCTCTAAAAACACATCAGCTTAATTTCTAGAGAAATAATATTCCTATAGGAAAAGGGTACATTATGTATATTTAAGCATGCAGAAGAACGTTAAATATGAAAATTTCTGCTTACATTCTCTTAATCTATGAACATTTTTGCCACTAGAGGGTACTATGAGACTTCTCTATGTTTTTCTGTATCTGGATTTGCAAATCTGGTAACCTGGCTTTTGCTCTTTTAGATGTTTACTTAAGATTTCACCACTTTAGACTTTAGGTGGACGCTTCATAGATCAGCATAAAGAACATGGAAAGACAGGAAGTAGTTCCAGGAACAAATAGTATTTGATCTAAATAGCTGACACTTTCTGGAACGGAGCCATTAACAGCTTCACTTAGGCAAACATTTTAGCAGGCAGGGTGGTAACACTGCATTTTCTTAAGAGCCAACATGAGAAACAAAATGATCTAATTTTAAGCAGGCCAATTTAAACTAAAGAAAAATCAGTAAATTTCCCCTCTTTAAACGGAGGTGTATAAATGGGGTCTGACTGTGAGTGAGATGAGAGGTAGATGTAACTGTGGGTGCGACAGTAATGCTAGTGGGGTACCCTCCCCCTGCCTCTCTGAAAGGTTTCCTAGGATTAAGAGTGGGAAGGTTAGGTTTGAAAATAAATAGATCCAATAAAATATAAGGAGGAGATATAGAAGGCCTTTTGATTGCCAATTAATGATGGTTTTCTTTGAGAAAGGAGAGGGGAGAATGATGGGAAAAGAATAAACTGAAAGGAAGTCAGACCAATGAGGAAAATAATGAGCTGACACATTAGTAGGAATTATGGGATAAGAATCTCTAGGACATCCTAAAATCCCCTCCCAGTGCTGGCTATTTGAAAATGATGTTTGCTGCCAACCTCTGATCCAGTTGCTGGGAGTCAGTCCTCTTGTGATTACTTGGTAACTAGTTTTGATGATCTTATTATATTCATGATTATACATTTTCTACAGGGGATACCCTTCATTTTTGCCATGTGTTTTCTCTCTGCTATGGCAAGTGATGTGCTCTTCTGTTAACTTTTTCTTCTATTTCCTCTGCAGGTTGGAGTTGTATAGGAAAGTACCAAATCTGCGAATTCTGGCCTGTGGTGGGGATGGAACGGTAGGTCCTCGAAATAGAATCCAGTTCTCGCCCTTATTTCTTTCGTCTTTCTTTTGTTTTCCTTATGACAGTTCTCTTAAATTCATTCCCACCTCACAGTCTTTCCAACCCCTTGAAACATGTGTCTCCCTCATGTGAGTCGTGGTCCATAAGGTTAGAAGGTACTCTGTTATTAATCTCATGGATTCAAACGGAATTTTTCTATATTGTTTCACTTCCTCAACTCTACTATATCCTTCCCTGTTCCACGAGGTAAGGATGTGGTCAGATCATCAGAATGAAGATTATAGATGATGAAATTCTTTTAAAAATATACACTGATCTATTTCAGTCTGTTCTTAATATTTGGCCACAATGGTTAAGGAGAACTAGGTGTACACAATTGATTTATTGTGATTTTTTCCCCAGTGGAAATAAAACTTAGAATATTGACTAACATTGGTTTGCCTTAAAGATTATCTGTTTGTTCCATTTGTAGTCATTTTTTAAGAAGAGGTGGCATTGGGCTGAAGTTTAATGTGATGGTTATATTGTCCTGTTTTTGTGTCTCATCTATTGCTCCATTTGCCCTCTATTTATGCTGATATATTTAGCAAAGGCTAGAAATGGAGATTCATGACACGGAGGTTCTGCTGCCCAGTGTCTTTTCTTCTGTATTTGGGGTCTGCTCTCATAGAACCCAGGCTTTTATTATGCACTATGTATGGCTCTTCTCTAATTTCTCTAATTAGAATATTCTCAAAGTAGCGATGAAATCTTCTAATTTTATCTCTCATAGCACATGAGCACTTAATGCAACATTGCATTTGCATTAAATACTAATAAATGAAATTGGGGAAAAAGAAGTGATTCCACTGGTCCCTTAAAATACTTTGTGAGAGGAAAATATTTGTGTGTGTGTGTGAAAATAGTGTTTACCAGTCTTTCAAGATTTGAAATACACATTATTATCTTATAAAATTTATTATTAAGTCTTACAGCAAAAAATTCCAAACCTGTTTCACTTTTTAAAAATATATATATTTTATTGATTTTTTTACAGAGAGGAAGGGAGAGGGATAGAGAGTTAGAAACATCAATGAGAGAGAAACATTGATCAGCTGCCTCCTGCACACCCCCTACTGGGGATGTGCCTGCAACCAAGGTACATGCCCTTGACTGGAATTGAACCTGGGGCCCTTTGGGTCTGCAGGCCGACGCTCTATCCACTGAGCCAAACCTGTCAGGGCAATTTCACTTTGTTTAACCCAGTGTTTTCCAAAATTATTTGACCATGGAATTTTTTTCTCCCACAATACCAAATAAATTTCAATCAATTGTAGTGTTTTAGGGAGATGTATTTAGAAATATGATACTGTGGAATTTTTCCAACTATCTTTAGTAAGACTTTTATCCAAACAAATCCTCTGTGGAGAAAAAGGTATTATTAATTAAATTAATATATAATAACAAATTAGGGATCGGGCCTAAACTGGCAGTCGGACATCCCCCGAGGGGTCCCGGATTGCGAGAAGGTGCAGGCCAGGCTGAGTGACCTCCCCCCACCCCCGCACCCCATACATGAATTTCGTGCACCAGGCCTCTAGTCTTTAATAAAAGGATAAACTCAGTTGTGACCTTTTACTACAGTTGTCTTCCTTATTTTAGCATCTACTTGCCTTCCTATATGCTTCAAGCATCCCACTCACATCTTTTCTCCTCTAAATCTCAGTGACAGCAGCATACAAGCTGAGGATATGCCTGTTGTTCTGGATTCATAGTTCTTCCTCTTTCTTAAATGACTCTGACCTCAGGTCCACTTCAGCTTCCTATTCCATCTTCATATCTTGGGTTTCCCCATTGACTGGATACTCCACCTCTCAAACTTCCCCATCACCCACTGAATCTCCCACCACCTGACTCCCCACCCCCTCCCCATGCTACTTTCTTCTTCCTTTTCTCTACTCAGCAGGCATGTGTAGGAGGCAATGCTCCAGGTTATATGGTATTGAGGTATTCTCTGAAATTAGGTAAGTATTTTAAAGTCTAAAGGACAAAGAGAAAAGACAGCCAAGTTCAGACACTTGTGAAATACCTATAATTATGGAGTAGGAACCACAATTTGAAAGGAAAATGAGAAGATAGAAGTAGAAGGTAGTCTTTTCTGTCAAGAAAACAAGCCAAAACAGGAGTTTTAAGAAAGAGGGAGTGGTTATATCTTTAAGGAGAGACCGGAGAATGATCATTGAATTTAGAGACTAGGAAGTAATTTGGTGGTTTTCAAGAAAAGAGTTTCAATAGAGTGTCTGGGACAAAACCCAGAATGGTGAGTAAGTGGGACTTGGTACATTACTAATGAATCCTAGCAACCAAATCCAATTACAGCATTGAATATCTATGAATACACTACGGTGTCATTAATATCCTTCTTGTAGACTATTCGGTTCTCCTACTTTTCTTATCTTACCTTTTCTAGCATTTCTTCTTTAAATGTACCATAGTTAACAGATATTCCACAAGGTTTAAATATAACTTTTCTTTTATGTTAGGGACCTTATTTATGTTCCTAACTTCAGTTTTCACATCCTTCCACGTAACTCACAAATGCATTGGACATTTACACTTGGGTCCCTTGCAACAGGCATTCCTGAAATAAAAGCAGTATATCTATTCTAGGGTTGATGCATACTTTTGAACTAAGTATTTTTGTCAATAATGACACCTGTACTCCAGTCTCAGAATCAAAATTTTGCTTATTTGGTAACTTATATAAGACCCAGCAGGATTCCTTTTATTTTACCTTGTTAAAGTAAGGTTTTTGGTGAACAAGATAGGGGGTTTATGAAATATTTATCAAGGTATGTGATTGGTATTTTTAATTTTTATCAGTTTAGAACATGAAACTTAAAATTTTTACTAGGGGCAGAGTTTATATAAAAAACTGGTGGGTGCGTGAAAAAAAAACCTCTTGGCTTTAGGCAAGTGAAGTATAATTCTTGAGAGCATCGATTTTATATTTGCCGTAAGGTATTTAACCTTGAGTTGACATACTGATCACTATAGAGGCTGTCAGAATTCTGTCAGTATAGTGACAAGGTTCAAGGAGGGGTCAGAAATGGAATATTTTTGACTGATTAGAATGAGGAGTATTAACCACTAACCATATTAGTTTAAGTGTAAAAAGTATTACTTAATATTAGACATCTTGCATGAATTTGGAAAAAAGTTCTTAGGCTCCAGTATTAGTTTAGTTTTATGTTATTAACAAATGCAAGGAGGCAGAGGGATGCGTCTCACAATGTTGCACTTGGAGGTGGAAGAGGAGGTTCTGCTACTATTTCTGTGACCTTGAGCAGGTTTCTGAACTTATTTTGAGACATTCTAAATCTTCAAAAGGATACATTTTGGTCTCCAAAGTTCTTTACAGCTGTAGCATTATAATAGCAGCGATCATTGCTGATCAAGAGAACTATAATGTAAGCCACATTTTAAATATTAAGTTTTCTAGAAGGGACGTAAAAAGGGTAAACAAGAAGCAGGTGAAATTAGTTCTATAATACAGTTTGTTTAACCTAATATATCCAACATATTATCATCTCAGAATGTAATCAATATGAAAATCATTAATGAGCTACTTTATGTTCAGTTTGCACTGTCTTTGGAGTCTGCCATGTATTTTATAATTATAATGCCTCCAGTTTGGATTGGCCGCATTCTAGTGCTCAATCAGTGGCTGCAGTTTAGCCTCTTTGTACCTGGTTTGCATACCCTGAGGTTGTCACATAGCTGAGAGCAGCAAATGAGCTGGTCCCATCTTTGATCTCTAAGCTGAGCGAAAACTCAGCTGACTCAAGAATGACCTCCAGCCTTCATGTGTATAAACTAGAAATAGTATTATTTCTGTGTTCATGTGGTAAATTTGTGTTCTCTCCTTTCGTGGGCCACATTGCCACCCATCCAGCTCTCCTTGGCTGTCACTGGCCTAAATATGGAAGGGCACGTGAACCTAGACGCTGAGGCGTGTGCACCCTCCTCTTCTGCTGGCTCCTCAGTGAGACATGGTCCCTAGCTACCTGGCTCTGACCTTCATGAGCTGAGCTGGGTCAGCAGGTCCATCTGTAACTATGTTCATGTCTTTCCAAAAGCCTGGAATTAAGTTGACTTTAGCCACCCATTTCATGCTTGTTTCCTGTTCAGTTGGCTTATCTAGATATGAGGATACATTGTCAACAGCAGGCATCCCCCTGCCCTGACTTACAGCCCCAGCAGGGAAGAAAGTATCGTATTTTCCTTTAATGGACAGGGACTAGCAGATCATGCCAAGCCCCTCTGCTCCCCCAGCCTCAGGCATATGTGATGGGAAGTAGCCCATCCTCTCTCAGGAGGAAGCACATGGTACACCTCAGGCGTAGTCATTGTGAACAAGTGAGTTTTCTATTTCAAAGAGCTCATACCTCAGCCCTGATCTTGATTTCTTCAGGGCTGATTTTAACCATTTCCTTTAACACATGGTGACTTTTTAAACCCTTCAGTGCAAATATAAATTAAAACCTCAAAGGGAAGAAGCATAGTGTACAAGTTAGTAAGGGACACCCAGTTGTTAAATGCTGTTTTGATGATCTTTCAGAGTTCAGAAATGTTGCCTGTCTTCTCTGATTTCCCAATATGCGTATCCTCCATTTTTCTGTCTGTGATATAAGAAAATGCGATGTATGTCATGTGCAAAGACTTCAATTCACGGTCCTCTCCACCCTTGAGCCACCTCTGATGCTAGCATATTGCAGAATGAAAACAGTGCTCCAAGTGCAGTAGGGGAGCATCCAGGGACAGCTAACGCTGAGCATGGGCAGCAGGTGGCAGCACAGGCCAGCTGCTGCTGCAGTGGCCCGTTGGGCGGCTCAGGGACAAAGCCCACAGGCGTAGCTGCTATTCTAGATCTTTCAGTCTCACTTTTCCTGACACAAAGGAAGGAAAGAACTCTGCAAACTGGAACATGATTTCACCCAATCCGGATAATTTCCTTCAGTCGTGGTGGGAAACATGCCAAGTGCTATGTATCACAACTGAATCATTGAATTGAAGGGGTGCTGGAAACGCTGGTGGAGACGTCTTGGGGACATGTGAGGGCCCAGCAAACACAGCCCCTGCCCATGAATCTTCTGTCTGGGCCTCTAACAGAAGCAGGTTTCTGGTTACTGGGAAGGGAGAGCTTCCAATAGACAGCTTTGAGCCATGAGATCTTTTAGCACCTTTCTGTTGCGTGGAAGTTACAGGACACTTATTCCAAAGTCATTTGCAAATTGTTTGTATTTAATGTGCTGTGCATGCATCCCCTAACTTTCTCGTCGAAGTATTAGTATTCTTCCCGTCACTTAGAATTGTTCTTTGCAGGCTCATTTGCAGGTTCTTCCCTTTCTCTGCATCACTTCCTGTCCCTATCTAGTAGTGTGAATGGTTTCAGGACTCTGAGGCTACTTTTCATCCTGAGGACATGTCAGGGTGTTTCGGGTGTCAGTGAGCTGGTGGGAAGTTGGGCTCACTATTACACAGAGACTTTATCCCTCCAGCCCAAACAGCTTTCTATGGGCTATGGCCTCAGGTCATGGTTCTTCACATTCTTATCCCAACCTCTTATTTCCAAGAGGGAGCCTGGTTTCTACACAGGCTCCTGCCAGCAGGGGGTGCACCTCATCATCAGACAGAAGCCAAACTCCTGGCTTCCTTTTGCTTGCACCTTTGGGATTTCTTTGTTTCTGGCCCAGGAAGAGGTTTTTGTTGTTGTTGTTTGTTTTGTTTTGTTTTTTTCATTGTGTCTAGAGTGAAATGGGATGTTGAAAGTGTGAAGTCATAGCATGCTCTTTACCGAGAAAGGAGAGACAAATTTCAACTAAACATAAGAAAAAAGTTCCTAACTTAAATCTACCCCAAAGACACTAACTGACTTGTGAGTACAAACCATAGAGGGGGACTAAGAGATCATCTCTCAGAGAAGTTTTAAAGAGCCTGCCTTCCTTTCCCTTCTCTGAATGGGGTGTTAAACTAGATTCCCACTAAGTTCCCTTGCATTTCTTCTGAGAGTCTGGTTCTACCCAGGACTGTTGGGTCTGCAGTCAGCGATCCCCGATTATTGGGATTTCTGAGTTTCACATCCTTTTTAATGCCCTTTAAATCCCCTTTTGGTAGTTAATTGGAGATACCTCCTTTTACTGGGTTTTGTTTGTGCTTTTCGCTGCACAGGAACAATATGTAGCCGTCACCAGTCATATTTTAGCACCTGGAATTTTCCTCCCCTTTTACTTCAATATTCAATAGCAAGCCTTGTCCGTATTGCCTGTAAAATATAGAAGTGCTGGGCCGGAACCTAAGGAGTTGTCTAGGAGCAAATTGCCTATCTTGGGGAATGGAGGGACTTTTCACACTTGTATGGATCTGAATTTCTAGTTCCCCAAACTGGGTATGCCTTTCTGAAAGGTTAACACAACGTCAGACTTCATTATGGACAGGCATGTTTTACATCCTGGGAAGTAATCATTGCGGAGGAGAAGGGGTTTTAGATGGAAGCCAGGAGACCTGATAGGACTCTGACGGCCACTTCTCATTATTTAGTCTTCAGCTAATTACATGACCTCTCTGCACCTCTGTTAATAAATCTGCAAATTAACTGAATTTGAATAAGTGACTTCTAAGTTTCTTCAGTGCTCCAAAGATTCCAACAGTACATGCACTGTCTACAGGACGGCCAGGTCATATCCAGAACCAGGTTTAGTTCTTTATTTCAAGGTTCCCTGCACCAGAAAGGCTAAGAGGTTGGTCTTTGGCGTTTGGCAAGCCTAATTTTGAATGCCAGCTACCACATAAATGATGTGGTATGAAGTAGGACATTGGACTTTCCAAATCTCAGTTTCTTTATCTACAAAGTGGAGATGAAAATTACATCTATCTCAGGGACTCCTTTTGAAGTTTAATAAGACAGTTCACTGGAGAACTTTGCTCAGGGACTGGCCCATGGAAAGCTCACTGTTTTTGTTCATCATGAACTCTGAGAGCAGGCCTGCTACCTAATCTATCTTAGCCCAGCTCATTTATCTTTTCATTTCAGTTGCTTAGTTCTGCATTTTATGTGTAGTAGTGTGCAATAAATGTACTGTTAAAGTACCATTTTTAAAAAATATTTAAAAGACATGACTCATATAAATATAGAATGAATATACATAAAAATGTATTTATAGTGCCTATACAGATGATGTATTATAGAATTGTTCACTTGAAACCTACATATTTTATTAACCAATGTCACCCCAGTAAATTTAATTTAAAAAGGTATTTAGTGCCTTAATGATGGCACCAACAAGATGATAAAGCTGTTGTTGTTGGTGTGTTTTTTTTGTTTTTGTTTTTTGAGAAGTAGAAGAAAGGGATTATGTTGCTTACACCAAAATAATTTTCTAAATTTGAGTCAAAGTTGGTTTATGTAATCTTCTCAACATTTGTCTCTCTGTAGGACAGAAATCTTCAAGTTAACCTGTACTTATATAGTTCTTAAACAGGCCTGTTAAATACTACTCTAGTATAATATTGTGAAACATTCAAGTTTGCTTTTGCTCTTTTCAATTTTAGGGTAATTTTCCTAAATAGCTGTAATAAGACTAAATCTGAGAAAAAGATTAAACAGGAATATGATTCTAGTACATAAGTATCCATTTTCTGCCTAAACTTATAATAAATACTAAGTCCAGCCCTAATTATGTTTCCATAATGTTTCATTTAGGGGGATACAAGGATATTTAGAAAAACAATAATTTCTAAGATGGTACTATGGAGATTAACCATTTAACTGGTGCTTACATATGCCATGCACCATGTTAAGGGCTTTATATATATTTCTCTCTGCAAACAATCTTGTGAGGTAGGTCTTATTAACGCCATTTTGAAAATCTGGTAAATGTGTCTCAGTGATGTCAGATAATTTAATAAAGATGACAGGACCCATATGAGCCAGAATTGAAATTCATTCTGACTCTAAGTCCTGTATTCCCTCCAGTGGCCTATGCTATATACCTCCCTAAATTTTAAACTCTTCTAAATTTTAAAGTAGATCTCTAGTTAAACATATAGACAAATGGGTGTAGCTTTGCTTATACGACAGAGCATGTACAAAATGGTCCTTTTCCCTGTAAGAGACTTGCCACCTTGAATCTGCCAGAGATAAGTGGTCTTTCTGTTCCCTGGCTGCTGGATTAAAACATATGTTTTAGCCCTAGCTGGTTTGGCTCGATGAATAGAGCATCGGCCAGAGGACTGAAGGGGTTTCAGGTTTGATTGCAGCAAGGGCAAATGCCGGGTTGCAGGCTTGATCCCCAGTAGGGGGCGTGCAGGAGGCAGCCAATCAATGATTCTCTCTCATTGTTGATGTTTCTCTCCCTCTCCCTCTCTCTCTCCCTCTCCCTCTCCCTCTCCCTCTCCCTCTCCCTCTCCCTCTCCCTCTCCCTCTCCCCCTCCCTCTCCCCCCTCTCCCTTCCTTTCTGAAATCAATAAAAATATATTTTAAAAAAACTACCAAAAAACATATATTTTAAAGAAAACTAAGACCATTCGATTTTGCTCTTTAAAGCCGTTCCCCTCAGGTGGTCTTCCTTGTAACTTACCTGTCTTTCTTATCCCTCTTCTGGCCCCCAATGTGTCCCTAGGTGGGCTGGATCCTTTCTATTCTGGATGAACTGCAGCTGAGCCCTCAGCCTCCGGTTGGAGTCCTTCCTCTGGGGACTGGGAACGACCTGGCTCGGACTCTCAACTGGGGAGGGGTAAGAACTCTCTCAGGGGCGGCCCCTGGCGTCCAGCTGCAGGCTCCCCCAACCCACAGATGTTCTGATGGAAGGGGAATAAGTTAGGGTTGAGAACCAAGGCACCCACGAGCCACGATTTTATCCAGTAACTTATAAGCAGCTGGAGAAGAAGGGAACATTTAGGATTAAAAACGGGGTTAGTACACAGGCCTGGGCTTTTTGAGCTAAGCACTAAGACAGTGGGTGGGTTGTCCTCAAGTCTTCATGTAAAACAAGCACAGACTTGAATTGATCCTGACCCTCAGCCTTGGCCAGGATAGCAACTCTGACTCAGATTTACAATGCTTACTTGGGGAAAGTGATGGCTTTTTTTGACCATGTGGTTTCTCTGGTCAGTGTCATCATGGCTTTGACTCCACAGGTAACAGACTGTCCTTTGCACCGTGGAGCCAATTTCAGACAAGTTCAGTGGAGGCAGTTTCCCTGTCACCAACCAGCCATTTCATTACTATTTTTTTTTTACAGTGCTAAGTCAGTAAGAAGGCACAATATGCTAACATATGCAGCCTACCAGTTTTTTATCTGTTCATATGAGACCATTGCCTGGGCTGGGTTCCATGAAAATCATCTTCAGATACTAGAAGATATTAATCTGGCTTTTGGGAGAATTAATTTCACATAGGAGATAATTATCTTCAGATACTAATTTGACTTTGGGTGAATGAATTAACCTCCCATAGGTCTATTCTTAAGTATAAATAATAAATACAGGATAGGGCAAAAATAGGATTATAGTTGTGAGTACTCCAAACAGAGTTTATTCTTATATTATTCTTTATTATTTTCCATATGAATAACTGTAAACCTACTTTTGCCCCGCCCTGTATTTACATGAAGCAACTGGTATATTATCAATGTTAACTCCTCTCATCCAATCAGTGACTTGACAGTCCTTAATAATCATGCTGTCAGTAATGTATGCTCAAGGAGTAAGAGTTCCCAAGCAGGGCTATTCCTCTGTCAGACTTGCCTTAGGTCATGGAAGGGATGGTGTCCTGCTACAAGGTTAGGGAGAGGTGAGTAAAATGGGGTGTTAATAGAAGTAATTGTCTATCAGAGGCTGCTTTGTTTCTTTTATCCTCTCATCCCAACCCCAAACACACTTCTGTGCATTTCACAAATCCCTTTAGTAGGAGGCCTTGGGGGTCCTGCTTTTACTCTGATGAAAGCAGCCATCCAGCATAGCCCCTAAACCTACCAGCAACTATTGGTTCTCAGTGTAAGCACAAATTATTCCTCAGCTCTAACCAGCTAGAATTAGCATTCCTGTGCACGTTACCTGTGACTATTGTGTTAAGTTCTAAGTACCTGGAAAAAAGGTTTACTCTCTCCCAGCCTTGCTAATTACAAAACAAACAGAGAACTGTAGCAGAGGGCTCTTTCTTGCATGAAATACCTTTGGCTATACTGTTCATTACTCCAGATGCCAATGGATGTGTTTGTTTGTTCCTTAGGGCTACACTGATGAACCTGTTTCCAAAATCCTCTGTCAAGTAGAAGATGGGACAATTGTACAGCTAGATCGCTGGAACCTCCATGTGGAAAGAAACCCAGACTTGCCTCCAGAAGAGCTTGAAGATGGCGTGTGTAAGGTTAGAGAGTTCTTTCTTCGGCAGAAAGGCACTCGAGAGCATCTGTCATGGGAAATACATTTGTGGCTGGAGATTCATGTGCTGATTTCTTCCTATGAGATAAAAGGATAGTGTTAGAGTTTATGGCTACAGGGCTATGTGTCCAACGTTACCCACTGATTCTACCCCAGGGTTTTCTAAAGACCTGGGTTTCTACCTGCTTCCAGGGCTCAGGGAGCTGTTCTCTGTCCTCAACTTCCACACCAGGAACACATGGATCCATGTTCTAATTTTCAAGTTCATTGCAAACTCTTAACCTAAGAGAAAATGAAATGTATATATATATATATATATATATATATATATATATATATATATATATGTTCCGAAGCAATAGGAATATGATCTTTCAAAACAAAGATAGCCTTCTGAGATTTCTGGCTTGATATCAAATGTTCCCAATGTTTAGGAAGTATTAACTAAGCCGATTTCATTACTTGCATGGGACTTGAAGATGCCCACATAAATGCTTTGATTTAGTGCTTTTCCTTCAGTGATTGAGCTTTTTATTTCAATCCAAGACAAACCAAGGGGCGCAGTTGTAACTACTCTAGTGTGGAGCTTCAGTAGAAGATTTGGTTCTAAGTTCTGGCCTCAATTTCAGATAAATTTGGTAGGTCACCAAGTAGCCACTTCCTCCTTATTACATCCTACTTCTTTTCTATGATAGTGTTTTCAAACTTTTGTGTGCATAAGATTCTCCAGGTGTGCTTGTTAAAAATACAGATTAAAATACAGATATACTTTCCGTAATAGCCCAGTCCCAGAGAGTTTCATTAACTAAATGCAGGGTTAAGGCCGAGGTATTTGTACTTTAACCAGCATTACTGCTATATTGGATTATGCCATTGATTGAGACCAAGATTTCATGGAAGTTTCAGCCTTAAAATAGATTGAACCAGAGAACATTTTAGACCAAACCAACATCCACTTAATTCATTAAAACATGTTTTGCCTTGGTCTTTATTTTTTTTTCCACCTAAACCATGATTTAGAAATTATAAGGTTTTTGGTAGCTATCACGATTGCTCAGTTGATATTGAGTTCATCATGTCACAATGTTGTTTAAATAGCACTTATTGTCTTGGAATATGATACGTCTTTCTACTGTGTTAGAATACAGAAATTGGGTAGAAAAGAGCCAAAGTAAAAAGAAATGTACCATATGGAAATGTTAAGGCCCTTTCCCCACTAAACTTAGAATGGTTAGGCCCTCAATAGAAGTCTATATTTAAATCTTTTCCCAACAGCTCAAGTAATGGAAAGACTTCTTGGTGCAGCCAGGAAACATTAATCCAGATAATTAAAAGGCTATGAAAATGGATTTTTTGAAGAGACATGTAGGAAATTGGGGTAATTTTTTCCTGGAAAATACGAATAAGAATTTAATAACAGACTAAATTGGGATATTATTTATCGGATGGTGGCCAGATGTTCCCCTGAGTTATCAGTGAATGTTAAGACATGGGTTAGACTTGTAGCCAAGAAAACATAAATGGTAGAGACGAACATATCTGTGTTCTTGGCAGGATCACCAACCCTTGCTGTCATTATAAGGATGGTATTTTGTTTAAGTACAGGAACTGGACATTCTCAAATGTGAAGCCAGGAAAATGAGACATGATTTTGGCATTGTTCTGTGTGTTTAGTTTCTCTCCCTGTTCTCCAGTTAGTTATAACCATTTCTAGGGGCTGTTTTGACCTCTGAATCATTATAAGCTCTGGCTCGGGGCCTGCTATGAGGGGTTCATTCTTTATTTATATTAGAGACCCAGGCAACCCATTTTCTTTCTTTCTGTATTAATATCTCTCTCTCATTCTCATTTCATTTTCTATTCTTGGCACAAGGTTTATTTCATTTTTCTCTTATTGGGACAAGGTTCTCACTCTCATCAAATAGAAAATCAAGGGGGACATGAAACACTGTAATAAACTTACTTTTGGAAATTTGAGGGTTAAACATGTATTTCTAGTGCATTTCTCTCTGATAAGTATCTGGAAATATTATCTAAACTGAGGTAAAATTACCTATCTGTTTACTTTAATGTTTATCTTCCACTCTGAGCTATAGAAGGTAAAGTGAAAGAATCACTATTTCCCTTCTAACATTTTCCAATGCTTTTCTAATATTTCTAATATTGCCTGCAGCCTAAAAACACATTAATTTTGCAGTTTTCATTCAGGATTTTAGTTTGTGTGGTTCTCTGTTTTACTCAGCTTGCAGCAGTAACAGCCAGTGACCCAGAGGATTCTGGGAAGGAAAGCTCAGGTTGGGTATGCACCTATATGTCTGTGTTCACATATTTCACAGTCATATTAAAGATATAGGTTTGAAGAGGGGCAAGGGGTCAAATATATGGTGATGGAAGGAGACTGGGCTTTGGGTGGTGAGCACACAATAGAGTGTAACCTGGAATTTACCTAATGTTATTAACCAATGTTATCCCAATATATTTAATATAAAATATACAAGATTTGCTAAACTAGGAATCTGAATAATACTGATCAATAAATGTCTATGTACATATCTATTTGTTTTTTTCTTTTTTTCTCTAGATTGAGAATAGCTGAATGTCTCCAACTGCCTTATTGCTTATATGACTTTTGTCAAAAATATTTTTTTAAAGTAGGCAAAGGGCAAACAAATTAAACGTTATTCATTTTAAGATGCAATATTAATATGCTGAACATAATTCTTGAAAAAAGTGTAGCCACAGGTTAAGTAGGTTTAGACATGATCCTTACAATTTACTTCCTAAGTTTGAACAGTGAATCCTTGTTCATAACTATTGCAAATATGCACCCTTCCGCATGGTAAGAGTATCTTATTACAACATCCCCAGGAATGGTTCTCATTTATTAATTTGTATCGGTATCCCTTCTTTCCTATAAATTTAAAATAATTGGGAGTATTGTCTGATTTGAGCTTTGACTAATGAATTAATTTAAACAACCCCATTCCTTCCACGTAAACACCTCTACCCGGAGTTGTGACTGATCTCCAGTCCAGAGATAGCCCCAGAGACGGGTGTCCGGCTTGAACTTTATTTTTCTTTCTGCTTGGTTGCACACGACTTCACCTCTACCTTGTTCATCGTTGCAGCTTCCTCTGAATGTTTTCAATAATTACTTCAGCCTTGGATTTGATGCCCACGTCACACTGGAGTTCCATGAATCCCGAGGTGAGGACAGCGTTCCATTTCCATCTCCCAGGGAGGAAGTTTCCAGCAGGTGTTTTGCATGTTCCCTTTTGTTTGCATATCACTTATGTGTTGACAGTGTGCTTCCGTGTTGTGTTTTTTTGTTTGTTTTTGTTTTGACCTCCCTGATGACCCTGGGAGCTAGACAAGGTAGGAACTTAATACAAATAGGACCCTGAGACCATGTTGGTTAGGGTTTCCAAGATGGTCAGAGAGGAGACCAGAGGTGTGCTTGGGATTGCTACTCTAAGTTGACTAGAAACTTTGTTAGTGAACTACTGAGAAATAATAAAGTTTCTTTCCCTAAAGTCATTGGGATACTCACAGCTTCTCAAGCTACCAGTTGTTATGGTGCAACATTTAATAACCCAGAGCCATTGAAACCTGGTAGCAAAACAAAGAAGCCCTGCCTGTGGGTACAAAAGAGACATTAGGCATTTTAGGACAATGGGGGCCTGTGGGTGGTTTGGGTTGAAAGAAAAGGGTGTGATGGTGATTGGATTAGGTTGGGAAGGTGCTGCAAGTCCTCAGGGATGAGATAGGGGAGTGAATAAGGCAGAGTGGTCATTTAAGTACCAATAGAGATGGAGTCAGGGGTTGGGGGAGCAAAACGATTTTTGAAAGAGAAATAATGATGTGGTTAAACATTTCATCAGAACTTCCTTATGTCTTTAGAACTGAGAAAGTTGAGGATTTCTGCTTATGCTTTGAAGCTTTAATCTCTCTCAGTTTCTATTAATCTCTCTTTTTCTCTCTGAAGCTCTCTTATTAATATAACTATAGTACACATCTCTGTCTATGCCTGTATCCATAACTATAACTGTTCCTAGTCCCTTGTCAATATGTTAATATATAACCAAAGTACTGCTAAGCTGTAGGGGAGTAAGTAATTTGTAAGATAAAAGTCACAAATGAGGGATTATTTTTACCTTTTTTCCTCCATCCAGATTCTGCAAGAGCATACATGGGTTTTAACTCATAGAATTTGAAAAACGGAACAAAAAGCTAGAATTTAAATGTTCCTGTTCCAGGAATAATGTAGGAAAAATTCTGATCACTCTCTTATGCACTAAAGGTCAATAGTGCAGCAATAGGATGAAGGCTGTAAGAATACAAACTAATAGTGAAGTCCCAACCTATAATTTTCTTCATGAATTCAGCAATTTTGGTAAACTTTTTCTTCCTGGATTCATGAGGCTTCGAGGATCAAATGCTGTGCCAAATAAAAGCAATAGTGATTAAAGAGGGGCTGTAGTTTGGTCGTTCTCTCTGATTAGCCAGAAAATCACAGCTAGAAAGGTTGGTTGATGACAGAACCACAGATAGCAAATACCCAAATCAGAAGCATCACCACCCTCCCATCTCCTTACAATAGACTGTTCTTAGATATTAGATAGTGAGAGGGTCCAACATTGGGGCCAACATTTATAACTGGTTGCCCTTTCTACATTTGAGGAGAGTTAATTTGAGGAACTAAATGGAGATCCCTTTGACCATTTCGTACTCCTTATTTTCTCCTCATATTCTTCAGGAGACCCTGAATCTGGGTTTCCTAATAAAATTCTTAATTAGTTTCTTAGCAATACTTATAAAGTAATACAATTCATTAATGCATGAATCTCCCAAAATAGACATTCTGGCATGAAAAGAGGCCTAAGTGAGTAAGTGCCCGACAATGAGCTCATTCAAGGGAAACTAATATTTGGTCTAATTAATCTGGAAGTTTAATACATTTCCTTGTACTATGATGACACTTCTGTGCTTCAGAGTGAGAGGGAGCATCAAGGTAGAAGGACCAAGCTTAGAAGAGAATTCTTGCAGGAAAGTGATTTTTTATTTTATTTTACTTTATTTTAAGCTATGGGACTATTTCATTTTAGAGAGGAATATGCAAATTGAGGTGTATATGTATAGATACGTAGTTTTAAATGTATTGGTTAAAAGATACCAAGCATTACTTTTTGAATAGTTTATCTCCGAGGCTTAGTTTAAGTGCTTTCATGCGATATGAAACATTTGCCCTGCAGGTAAGCCAGAGCCCTTGAGGAAAACCAGCCACTGCAAGCTGATAAGGGAGAATTAATGTCACCCAAGAGTAATAGCTACAATATTCATGAAGATGATACACAGCTGGTACAAAATAAATGTCCACAAAATATTGCAACTGGATTTGGTTGATATGCTTAGACCAGGGATGTGAGCTTCTTAGTATCTGTTAATCTATTCATTTTTTTTGCATTAAATAAAATCATTATTTACTATAAAAAGTATAATTAGTCACACTAATATTCTTCTTTTAAAATTGTTTTTTGTTGGTTTGGATTTTCGCCATATACTTTCCAGGATAGTCAAGACATCTCAAGGTTGGCTGCAGAAGGAAAAGGATAGTGAGGCCACATTTTCAATAAGGGTGAATTCACTTATTTTTCTTGGTAATGAGTGGCTGTTCTCAAGCCAAACAAAACTCATAGTTGAGACTTCAAACTGTTCTCAAACACAACCACTCACAGTTTGAGACTTCATGATAAAACTTGTTTGTATAAAATACTTGGAATGTGACTGAAAACCTCATGAGAACCATTGTAAAAATGAGCTTGGATAGAATAACCTATTAGGTGTCAGTAAAAAATAATATAGTACTTTAAGTTGGGAGTCATGCCAACCAGCCTAAATGAAATAGAAAATAGATAGAAATCTCACTGTGTTAGGATTTTAAAAAAATGTAAATGCAAACAATTTTTTGGCATAGATGTAAAATAGCCCTTCAAATCGATATGGGACAGATGCAGATTTTAGCATTGCTACCTATATTATATTTCTTTTAGAAGGGACAAATAAAGTGACATTTATTTTGAGAAAGTTTACTGGTAGAATTATTGTATAAATAAATGCATTTAGAATTATCAGTAGAAAATCAAACAAGGAGTTAATATAGTCTTAACACTTTGATTTACTTTATATAAAGATTGGAAATATTTGAATAATTTGATCAGAACAGTGGTTCTCAACCTTTAAATACAGTTCCTCATGTTGTGACCCAACCATAAAATTATTTTCGTTGCTACTTCATAACTGTAATGTTGCTATTGTTATGAATCGTAATGTAAATATCTGATATGCAGGATGGTCTTAGGCGACCCCTGTGAAAGGGTCGTTCGACCGCCAAAGGGGTCGCGACCCACAGGTTGAGAACCGCTGGATCAGAAAGATGGTATGCTTCATTTGATTGGAAAACAGATGCTTTCTTATTCTTCTCAACCACTGTGCATGGTTGAATTGTTGCTGCCTGGGAAAGTCTAATCATTTGAATAGAATTTGGAGATATAGTAGGATTGGTCATTAAATTTTCAGTGGGAGTCTTGTCCAGTACTTCGGTCATTATTGCATTATGACAGTGCTTGAGGACATACATGGAAAATATTTCCATATATAATGTATAGGGATGTTAACAATGATTACGGGTATCAGGTGGCAAAGTCAGGTCTCACCCTGCCAGCTGTACGAACTAGATTGTCATTTGCTTTGGACATGAAAGATATTAGACAACACCAAACTTTCAGTCTGAGATTGGATGCTTAAATTTTTCTGCTTCATTGAAATTATTATTCAGAGGAGTCAAGCCTTATGCTACAAGGTCAAGGACATACAATTATGACTCCAGAGGAGGCAGTATTTAAATTTGATTTAGGAGTTACTATTTCCACTGAATATATGGAGACATGAAGATCTGCATGTTTCAAAGGATTATGAATGTTTCATGATTCATGGAGAGAACTGGCAGATTTCTTTTAAAAATGTCTTGTTTGCAATGGCTTGCTGAATTTCATTGTTACGGTCACTGCAAAGGACTCACTTTCCAGCTTTTGTCTAGACTTGAAGGCTCAAGTATAGTTTGCCTTTGAGAAGCTCACACTGTGCGAGAGTCTCTGTATGTAACCTTCTTTTCCACCCTGAACCTCTGCGTGGTACCTACTCATCATTCGAGATTCAAGAATACCTGCTTCTGGAACACTTTTCTGATCATTTCTTTTATGTGTAATGGCCACTTCATCTCATACAGACATATTTTTATAGCACATACAAAATGGCATTTTAGTTTTCATTTTCAGACCTGTCTCTTCCACTCTAAATTCCATGAGGGCATAAGACAATGTCTTCTTTCTTTTCCTCCCTCCCTTCCTTCCTCCTTCCCTCCCTCCCTCCCTCCCTCCCTCCCTCCCTCCCTCCCCTCCTTCCTTCCTTCCTTCCTTCCTTCCTTCCTTCCTTCCTTCCTTCCTTCCTTCCTTCCTTCCTTCTTCAGCTATGAAAGAATATAGTTTATTTTTAAATATAATAAACTCTTAAATCATCTTTTGCTTAATTTATCTGAATTATAGTATATTTCCATCAGAACACATAGTTATGAATTTATTACATGTATGCATGTATTCCCTATAACAAATAAATCAGTATTCTAATCAAATAATTTAACCCATTTTCTCTTTTTTTTTCAATTACAGTTTACATTCAATAGTATTTTTTATTAGTTTCAGGTGTACAGCACAGTGGTCCCTGTGCCTAGTCCAGTGACTATCTCAATAAGTGTTACAGGAATGGGATTTTAATTGGAGGGATAGGCCCACATACAAAAGATAACACTAGAAAGGCACATATAGTAAGGGCACGATTAGTTGTACGGGCAGTAAATAACATTGGAGTTCAGTGGGACTGTTGTCAGGGGAAAGGTGCCTGAGGAAAATTTCCAGAGAGGGTAGATAAAGGAAGAGAAAGGAGGAGTGTGATGTTGACAAGAAATAAATAGGTGAGGGCATTTCAGACAGGAAAGAAAAAGTACAGAGGGATAATGAGCTTGTGATAGAGATAGGTTACATGACCAGTTATTACATAATGAAAGATTTTTGTGATGGTGTTAGAAAAATGAAGATAATGTTGTTAAAAAAATATATGCCCTGAATGGGAAATAATGTTGAAAAAAAAAGATTAAAAAAATACACAATTTAAATTGAAGATGCCAATGTTATTGTAGGCATAAATTTTGGAGTCATTTATGTATCTCTAACCGAAGTCTTAAAATTGGATAAGTATTTGATGAAGAGAGTATAAAAGATGTGTGAGTTATAAAGGGTTCAAATTGCTTATTGATTTTTATAAACATTGTGTTGGACTTATGTTTATGAACATTTCCCTAATATGCAGGACCAATTACAGGCAGAAATAGGGTTTAGGATCCCATTCTGATGGCACGCATATCATTGTGTTGTGCATAAGGATGAAATTAATAGGTTAAATCAATGGAATGGAGTGTACCCAGAGCCTCATCATCATTATAAATGAATTACATCCAGAGCCAAGTCAATTTGATGATTTAGATGATGGGATTTGGGAAGTTGGAGCTAATGAGATTTAGATGAGATTTTTGGATTTTGAGTTGATAATATAATGGTATGAAACCTTTGGAGACCTTGAAGGGAGTGAATGTATTTTTCATACATGAAGGATGTGGATCATGGGGGCTATAGGGTGCATGATGGTAGGTATTTTGACCGCCATGACTTTTGCCATTTGGTTCCTGCTTGTTGGTGGTTTTATTTTATTTGGCAAAAAAATTTTGTAGATATTATGTAGGTTAATAATTAGCTGACCTTAAGATAGGAAGATAGTTCTGGATTATCTGAGTGGGACCAATGCAATAACATGAGCCTTTAAATGCAAAGATGGAAGGTGGAACGGGAAGTCAGAGTGATCTGGGAGAAGTCAGATTCAAAGTGTGAGAGGGATTTGATGTGCCCTTGCTGGCTTTGACAATGGAGGGGTTATCGTAAGCCGAGGAATGCAAGATGCCTCTGGAAGTTGAGAATGTACCCTAGCCAACAGCCAGTGAGGAAAAAGAATTTTATTACTGCAGCTGCAAGGAAATAGATTTTGTCCATAACCTGAATGAGCTTGGAAGTGAATCCTTCCCAGAGCTGCTCAATAAGAGCTCTGTAGGCTGACACCTTGATTTTGGCCTCGTAAGAGCCTAAGCAGAGGACTCAGGAGAGAACCTAGAGAGTTGTAAGAAAATCAGTGAATATTTTAAGCTATCAAATGTGCAGGAAACTAATACAATTAATATTGGTATCCAATCAGATTGTAAATAGGTTAATGGCATAGAAATACACAGCGTGTTTGGATCTCACTATCTCACACCCTCTTGTGGAAGAGGAGGATGAAATCTAAGAACTGCAGCCATAAACCATGGGTACTTCCACTATTGGGGTCTTTGAGGATCATTGCCTTTCTTGAGAGTGGCCTTTCATGGTTGACTTCATACCAATTAACAGACACAACTTCCTTCAGGAGCAAGAGCTCTTAAACTTTCTTGCTGGCTCTTTCCCAATTCTGTATGCCCCCTTTCCTTGATATAGTGGGGCCCACATTCCTTGGTCCTCCTCAAAGTCATATCAATTCTATGCATACACAGGCACATATTCAGCCACTCCACCCCTTCCCTTTAATAGCCAGAATGGTGAAGTACTGTTGTTTGTAGGCTCTTGTCTGGCCTGACTTCTGTAGGGAGTGGCACAGCTCTTAACACTAGCAAACATCTCCCTTAGCTGCAGCCAACCTTGCTTCTCAGTCTGATTTGTGCTTGGAATAGGGTAGATATAAAAGTGGGAGGAGAGTCCAATTGCCAAAACAGGCTCAGGCTGGGAGTCAATATAATGTATGGGATGGAGCAGAGAGAATAATAGAATATACCTCACACATTTCCTACCCCCAAGGCCAACTCCCCTACCTCTTTATTTTATATCTTTATTTTTTGTATGCAGATTAACATTTTTTATTGAAATAAAAATTCACAGAACATAAAATTCACCATTATGACCAATTTATAGTATATAGTTCAGGGTTTTTAGTATAATCACAATGTTGTGTAACCATAACTATTATATAATTCCAGATCATTTTCATCACCCCAAAAAGAAACCCTGTCCCCACTGAGTAGTACCTCTCCATTTCTCCCTTCCTCTACCCACTGGCAACCATTAATCTGCTTTTTGTGTCTATAAATTTGCCTCTTCTGGACATTTCATATCAATGGAATCATACTATATGTGTCCTTTTATGTGTCTTTCTGACACCTCTCTAAATGCTAGTGTCCTGATAGGCCTCTAGTTTTTATAATTACTTATATATATAATCAGCTTTTATCCAGTTAAATTAGATCTGCGGTGACTGTTTTAACCAACTGTGTGAGTAAAATCACCAAAAACTCAGTTTACTTCTTAATTCTAGTCTTTTTGGGTTTTATAGAACAGCGGTCGCCAACCGGTGATCCGCGGGCCACTGGTGGTCTGTGAGGTCTGAAAGGTTGGCGACCACTGTTATAGAACATTTTCAATCTCTTGAGAGAAAAAACACGCTTTTTTTTTTAAAGGAAAAAAGCGTTTTCAGTTCTTCAAGACTCATAGGAAAACCTCATGAAGATGTGGATATTTTCCAAACCATACATTAGTAAAAAAGTAAATGTTAATAGTTGGTATATGATTCATTTAATAGCGTTGGACATCATTTCCCTGAAAAACTTCATTGCCAGGACTGTGGGTGTCATTTTCCACTTCTCATTATAACTTGCTCAATAGCTGGATCTGATTTTGTTTAAAATTAGGGCCTATGTACCTACAATAAATTGCACGGCAATGAAAATTCTCATTTTGCCTCTGATTCCATAGAGCAAGAGTTAATGCAACTGAACATGGTACCCAGCCAAATCTGGGTCAATAAGGTTAAAAACAACATGCCATTCAGCAGTCAATTTCATCCTGAAGAAGGTCCAGACCATAGAAATGGTCAACTCTGGGGCCAGCAATGGGGATCAAGGAGGTAGAGCACTTAGCATCATTTTTACCTTGTTTTGGTTTACTATATCATAAGTTAACCTTTTACCTTTTCTATTATTTTGTTTCTAGGGCTATAGTACTTAATTTGGTAGAAGAGAGTGAATGGTTAAGGAGAGGTTTGAAATACAGGAATTGTAAATAGATGAATATAACTATCAAAAACCAATCTATAAAAATACCACATTTTTGATGTTTGCAAACTTCAACTCAGTTTCTATGTCTTATGCTAATATTTGTCACAGCATAAAAATAATCTAATAATTAATTGTCCAGAATTATTTCCTGAGATTTTGTAGCTTTTATTCAACCCAGTCTTAGTGAGTGAACTCTGCTACTTTTCTTCACCTAGACAACAACTTGTGGGATTTGCCATTCAAAAATAGGGTTAGGACTTGGAGTTTCAGCTAGTCAGCCAGTCTAATGAGAAATGACTTGGAGGAGACCTAACCCTGAGAAGGGATTAATGCGCATGCTGAATAAAATAGCAGACAGCAAAAGATCGGCAGTGAGGAATGTAAGAAAATAATATCCCATTTAGATATTTTATAAATTCCTTGAATTCATATGAAAATTCTCTGACACAGATTCTTGTTTAATCTTTTTCTTCCCTCAACATATATAACATATAGGAGCAAACTTAAATTTAAACCATTTTTCAGCCAGAACCTCTGCTATCATATGTGTGTGTGTGAGTGTGTGTGTGTGTGTGTGTGTGTGTGTGTGTGTATCCACTAATTCAAGTTATTTTTCAAGGCCTGTCGCAAATAAGAGTGCAGATGGTAGTTTTTGCAAAATCTGAAAGCAAATTCTCCATTAATTTTTGTCTGAATTGCCCATATTTAATTACATTTGGAAACGGAATCCACAGTTTATGGAAGCCATGACCTATGGAGGTCAAAACAAATAATCCCCCTCCCTCTCCTCCTTGCTCCCCCTAACACCCCATTCCTGTATCCCTGCCCATGCTCTATTCTGAATAGAGCCCAGAGTGTTTCCGCCTTTACTGTGCATGGGAATCACCTGAGAGCTTGCTACACCACAGAGTCCTAAACCCCACACCCCAGGCATTCTAATTCCGCAGGTATGGGGTAGATCCCAATAATTTGCATTTTTAACAATCTCCCGGTTGATGCTGCCAATCTGTGGCTACATTTTGTTTCACTGGACAACGATGACCTCTGCCTGTAACTAAGGGGAAGATGATAATGAAGCTGGTGGGTCTATCGGATCTGTGAGGGGAGGAAGTAGGGATGCCAGTCTAAGTCACTACCTTCAGTAAGGTCTCCAGAACAAAACCACCCCTTTCCTTTCACAGAGGCAAATCCAGAGAAATTCAACAGTCGTTTTCGAAATAAAATGTTCTATGCAGGGGTAAGTATCTATTTTATTTTATAAATTATTCCATATCATTTAGCGCTAATTCACTATTGGTCATATAGATGCTCACTGTGCTAAAATGATGGCATATACTAGTACATTTCAGATGTTTACATGTAGGGCTATGTATGGTTCATGTTTAATACGTTGGTTTAAGAAGAAAAGCAAGGATGCCTGTCTTAGGTTAGTTGGCAAAGAGAGAGCTGGTGCCCATCATCGTTGAACTGAAAAGCTCTGAGACTCCATGTTGTTCCGAGGGGATGATATCCAACGAGTAATGTGAGAAACAAACATCAGAGCCAACCCAGAGAATGGGAAATTAGGTAGACTGAAACGCGTATGGGAAGTCTTGGGTAAGACTGCAGTGTTCACAGGGGTCGGTATGCATCAGTGTTTGGATGAGAAATTGGCAGAGCACGGAAGTATTTTATGGAAGTGTATATGAGATTAAAGGGGCAGCGTCTTTTTCTTTCTCCTCCTGTGGAAGGACATACCTGGGGGTGAATGGCTGGAAAGAAAAAAAATACCTCCAAAATATTGATATTAGAAATAAGTGTGGTTTAAATTTATACCACTTGGTAGAGAGAATGGAAATATCAGAGTGAGGAGGCAAGACATTCTCAGGGGTGTCAATGGAGAAGTCAAAGTCAGGGGTCAAAATAAGTTTTTAAACTGACTGTCAGAATTATCTAATTTTTCACTCTCCTACTGTGATCTTACATTTTCTTATAAGTTATAGTTTGAAAACAAAAAGATTTCAACTTGACAGCCACTGCACTGCTTTATTTTGGATTCATCAAATTATATTTTGGCTTATTTAGCATCATTAGAAACTATATAATACAGAAGCAGGGATTTGGCATAACCGTGTAATTAAGCTTTTTTTCTTTATTTTCTTGTGGTATAGGCAGCATTTTCTGATTTCCTACAGAGAAGCTCTAGAGATCTATCCAAACACGTTAAAGTTGTTGTAAGTACTGAATGTGTCAACTCATCTCATTTGAATATGAATATGTATGCCACAAAAAAATGAACCCCAATTACCAGCTTTGGTGCATGAGCCAATGCTCTAACCCCTTGCACACCGGCCAGGGTAATCATATCCTTTTTTATGAGGAGAAAAATACAGAAACTAAGTCTGGACATTTGGGATTCAGTCCTAGGTGTCTTTGTGTGAGGTATATGACTGTGGGGGAATCATCGAACCTTCCAGAAAAGTTTATTTTCTTCATTTAAAACAGGCATAGCAACACATGTCTTTAAAGTTATTGATAATCATGCTGTGACGCAGAGGATATTTCTCCAATGAGGTCACTGTATGCTGTCTTGAGCGTGAGATAGAAAGGATGGAAAGTAAGCTAGCACAATTAAATGTACATATCACAACAGAGCATCTTATCTGTGCCAAGGGTAAAGTCAGTGTTTCTGAGGCAATAGATAATGATCTCTTACATAAATGTAAAATGTGTGTATAAATACTACACCAGAAACGCAGAGGACAGTAACACAAATCTGCATATGGCTTCATTTGCCCTACTTCTGTTTCTTCTTACTGTGTTGACATCAATATGTAAGCTCATACACAAGGACATATTTTACAGGTAAGTATTTTCCTTTGTATGTGAAGTAAAGAAAAAGTTGAAAACTGCTATTCTAAGGAGTTGTAAATTTAAATGCAATAAAATGTAAGGAAGCTGTGTAAAGCATGATACATCATAAGGTGCCCAATCGTCATATAACTTGTTTTAAATACAATAACATTAGTTACAGGCATTTTTTTCTGAATGCAACAATACTACTTTGCATGCTATTAATGTATCACATTCTATTGTTTTTTACTTTTAGCTGCTTACAACATTCAATGTTGATAGTCTAAGATGCCTACTTTTTTTTCATTGGTGTAGTCATCTATCAACTCATTTCAAGTCCTTAAATAAATTGGGAGACTTCATGTTTGCTTAGTATCAGGGAATATTGTAAAAACACCTTCAATCAATGTCTAGAATATGATTCCTATCTAAATAGCATTTTAAATACTTTATTTAGAACTGTGAGATTTCCTGGAAACAACTTTTGTGAATGCTTAGGAAAATTAAGCTGTATTAAGATCAGCTGGGAAAAGAGAGACACCCTTGACTGCTAGCAACTCCTCCTAAAGAAATCTTTAAAAGTTTGCCCAAAGTTTGTCATGTTTTACTGCTCTCCTCACTGGAGAAAATGATGGGGAAATTTTGTGATGAGGGTGTAAAGAGCAAATATAAAAGCAGGCTTATACCTTTGCCATTGGGAAGTCTATAGCTGTGACTAGTTGTCCTCTTTTGACTTTTGTCACCCGGGGTAAATGAGAAAGGGGAATGAAAGCTTTTTCTTTGAAAGTCAGAGGATATTCCTGAGGAAAATCCTAAAAATGAGGGAAGCCACACAAAAAGGTTTGAGACCATGCCAGCCTGAGGCTGTTGAGACCCAGGGTCAAGTCCAAACTCCAGTAAAGCAGTTGATCTCAGAAGACCAAAGTCTGTAAGAGATTAACTTTACAAGAGCTAATCACAAATGGAGATAAAGCTAATTTATAATAGATACATTGTGAAAAGCTTGTCTTCCAAACAGTTTTCAAGGTATTGTGTTTAACATTTTCAAAATAAAATTTAATCACAAAAAAACAAACAAAAGAAATCACATTCATGACTATTGTTTGAATCGGAAGACTGTGGGGAAGGTCCCTACTGCCTCAACTTGAGCATCATTCTCTTTAGTCTTTTAAGCATTTCTAGATCTTTTAATGCTGATACTAAAGATTGAATATCTAATAATCATCTAAGGTTAAGAATGATGGTAGTTCTTGTGTCTGGTAAAGCTCTGAGCAGAATTCATTTTCAGTCATGGTAATGGGCATTGACTTAAGCAGAGATTGGGCAACGGGAAGATCATGATATGTACTGTTGTCAACCCAGTTTTCTCTGGTCATTTTTTTAGACTTGTGACTACTTAAAAACCCTTGCTTTTTCTGCTTTGATTGTTTCAGTGTGATGGAACAGATCTCACCCCAAAGATTCAGGAACTGAAGTTCCAGTGTATAGTATTTTTAAATATACCCAGGTAAGCTCTGTTCATCTGTTTCCTTGGTTTGACGGGAACTCTATTTGACTTGAGGTTATCTGTTTTCATTATAGAAAATTTCCAGGTACAAACAATGAAAACCGGTTTTCTCAGTGGCTTACTAAAATTTTCTAGGTTTGATCATTTTGTTCTCCTACTTGGTTTGTTTAGTATTCTCTGCGGTAAGTGCTTTTTGTTTCTTTGGGGGAAAATTTTTTTTGCATGATATGGCATCCGTGGTCTATACTTATCCATTCTTGAGAACCCCAGGCACCCCTCTGGATTGGAACATTTAATTTAATTGCCAATTTAATGCTCCCTCACCCCCCAAGAATGATAGACTTGAACACATTCCTGTCCTCAGTTTCCTGAAAGCTGTTAGAAAACCATCCAGCCTGATTTCAGGATGGAATTTATTCAAAATCATTGCCAGATGATTGCTTTGAAAAAAATAGGATCAATTGGAGTAGGATTTTCTAGCCAGGATGTCAACTCACTTTGGTGTTATTATATACCTCAGGAGAAAGGGGTGTTTGAGATGAACTACTCTCAAAATAAGCACATATCTCAGTGGCATAACATTAGATTCTAGGCTCCCAAGCCAAGATGTTGGGAGGGATGGATCTGTGACCCTTTGTTATTTGCAAACAAGACAACTCAGACACAAACTCTGCAAATAAATTCTATTTAGACTGAATTTAATTAAAACAAGAATTGTATATAAATCTGTGGTTAGAAAATGACATTATAGTCCCTTGATTATTTTGGTAGTGCTTGATATAGTTACTTACAATTCTATTCCAGAAGTATTTTCATCCTAGTTGTTTAAACAGATGACCTAGAATCTCAGGAAACATTAACTTTCTTTTTTCCCCTCTTTTCTGTACATCTCTCTCTTTCATTTTGCTCCTTTCCCTTCTCCCTTCTGAATTCCTAGTCCTCACCTTTTCCATTTTTCTTTATTTCCCTTTCCCTCTATAATACATTTTTTCATCCCTTCTTCACCATTTCTTTCTTCTTCAGATAACCTTTCTCTTGTGTTGTGAGTGCTTATTCTCTTGGTTATGTATACAATATTATTCTGTAGGTACTTATTCTCTTAGTTATGTATATAATATTGATTGCTTACTCACTTCAGTTCCCTTCCCTTTTTCTACTGCCTGGCATGCATCTGTCTTCCTCTAAGACCAAATTCTGAAACCAACCATTGATAACTCATGGTATATCATAGAAAGTAGACATATGTGGACCATAGAGTGATAGTATTGATAAATAATGAATTAGGAGAACATTAGGTATTGTGAAATGCTTTTGTTGTAAGATCATGCTCATTTTCAGATTGATATTTTGAAGATGATGGTGAGTCCATTTCCTTTTCCTTTGGAAGATGTGCACCAAGAACAGAAAACTGTTCTTCCATGAAACAAACATTGGATCTGACTATAAGTTCATCCCTAATGATGGTCATGAGAGGAATGGAATAAATTTAATTCTTCTCTTAATCTTACCTTGCAGATATTGTGCTGGCACAATGCCCTGGGGGAACCCAGGGGATCACCATGATTTTGAACCTCAGCGTCATGATGATGGCTATATTGAAGTGATTGGATTCACCATGGCCTCTTTGGTGAGCAAGACAACCATTAGAGAAAGATAAATACCATATGATCTCACTTATCTGTAGAATCTAATGACCAAAATAAACTGATGAACAAAATAGAAACAGAGGCATGGATACATAGAACAGACGGACAGCTGTTGGTGGAAAGGACTGGATAAAAGAAGGTGAAGGGATTAGCCAAATAACATATAGGCATAATCCATAGACAGACAACAGTGTGGTGATGGCCAGAGGGAAGGGGGGCCCGGGCTGGGTAGAGGTGGGCAAAGGCTGGGAAATAAAGTAAAATAAATAAATAAATACAATGTATTTTAGCCACAGTTAGAGTTTTTCCATTTCATAGGACTTTGGTATAATTTTTTCTTTATCAATTTATAAACTTTATGCAACATCAAGTTGCTTGCAGAAAGCCAGAACACAAATTAATTCTTTATGTCACTAAGAAAATTGATTCACATTTGTTTGAGCTTCAAAAATAAATATTATTTGTTAGTTTTCCTAATTAACTTTCTACCAGAAAAAAATGCAAAGTGTTCATGTTAATTAAAAAGCATTATGTCACAGACATATCCCAGCATGATGCAGAAACCTTGCCATTTGATATTTTTAGGTGTAAAGGAAAGTGGTCATTTGTATATATTTTCAACTTTTCTTTTTAAGTATAAGATGGGTATCTCCTTTATCATAAAATTCTTGAATATAGAATGGCATCACTTTTGTGACATTAATTAATATTCAATTTCCACAGTATTGAGATCACCTTGTATTTTCATTTTGCTTGCTTGAGTACAAAATACATTTATATCGAGTAAGTGCAATTTCAAGCAGGTTTTAGCATGTGGTTCAACTTATTTAATGATGAGGAAACCAGTTAAAATAATGCTTATCATTATAGCTGGTGTAAATCAGACCACACTATTAGTTTATAAAACAAATTAAAATAAAGCTTCTACTTGCTATCCTTGGTTAGTACTTGGTTTGTGCTATACCAGTGGTCGGCAAACTCATTAGTCAACAGAGCCAAATATCAACAGTACAACAATTGAAATTTCTTTTGAGAGCCAAATTTTTTAAACTTAAACTATATAGGTAGGTACATTGTTATTAACTTAATTAGGGTACTCCTAAGCTGGCCTTTGCTACAAACGTCCTCAATCTGAGGGGTCGACCTCAGCGAATGTACCCCCACTTCTTCTAACACCACTTCTTCAAAATAGACTCGCCCAGGCCTAAAACCGACTTCTGCGCATGGGCCACGAAGTTTCAATCGCACTGTACGTGCGCACCCGCACGTGGTATTTTGTGGAAGAGCCACACTCAAGGGGCCAAAGAGCCGCATGTGGCTCGCGAGCCGCGGTTTGCCAACCACTGTGCTATACCTTATGCTTGAAAGAAAGCAGCTTGTATTTCCTGTCCTAAATAAACTAGAACAGCCCTCTTTTTTACTCCTCTCATGGATTCCAATCACTTCAAAATACTGAGACTTAACAGAATAACTTATTGTGACTCTGGCAACAATACCCATTACCTGAGATAGTGATGTTGCCATATTTAGAATGAAATGGTTGTTAAGTATAAAATATTGGTCTGGGATTGATCTAATTTTCAGGACTGTAGCTCATGCACAGCTCTTTCTCTCAAAAGATCTTTATGTTGATTATAGGAGAATACTCAGTCAGCCAGGAGCAAGTAGGAATAAAGTTCAAGATGGACATGTGCAAGGACGGATTCTTGGAGTTGACCAAAAATGCTCCAAACCTGGCCATGTGTGCTCTACTCATTCATTTATTCACTGGTTTAGTGAACATTTATTGAATGTGTACCATGTGCCAGGGCTTTCTAGTCCCAACTGTGTGGTAGAAAGCTGCCAGGGAATAATTATCTAAGAGAAGGGGATTGCTTACCTAGGCTTGGGAGGGCAGGGAGAACATTAGACACTTCACCATTGCTCTCAGGATCAAACTCTAAATCGTTTCTTGGCCCTGCAAGATTGCGTTTCTCTTCAATTCTTCTGCCTTCCCCACTGCCCTCTTTGTTTTCTTCCTAAGTAACCTCTGTAGCTTTGGGACATTCCTTGCTGCTTTTGCACCACAAGGCCATTGCACATGCTATCACTCTCTGAAACATTCTTTACTCGTCATCTTCTATAACTTTTCAGTCCCTATCTGTGTCTGTTTTTTCATTAGTCTTTTGGGGTTTGGGTTGTTTTTGCTTTTAATTGTTTAATTAGCATCTGAACAGGGAAGAAAAGTCAGACTAAAATTGGGTAATTAGAGGAGAGTTTAATGGAGGGACTCAACAAATTGTGCACTAGGTTTATGAGAAGCAACAACGGATGGCGCTGTATTCCTGAGCTGAAGGTGCAAAAGCAAGTAAGCAGTCACCTGTACCAGAAAGAACTGTTTGGCAAGGATCACCGGAGAGTCATATTTGCTAAGTGGAAGCAACCAGTCTGTGCCAACCTGGCAGGGAGGGAGCTGGGACAGAAAATACAGTGATCTCACGCTTCTCATCCTCCAGGCCTCCTGCTGGTGCTTCCCCAGGGGGAAGTTTACCCAGAAGCTAGAGGACAGAGGAACCACTGATACAGTGTAAATGGGTCGGTCTCACGGGGTCAAAAGAGGGCCAAGAAGGGTAGAGTGCTGGCGGCGGGGAGTGGCGAATGCTAGATATCCATCACTCCAGTGTGTCCTTCCCTGGCACAGCAGAGAGCCTGCTGCCTGTAGTTGACAATGAATAAATGTGACAGAATGGATGAATTTTGCCAGGAGAAGCAGCATGGAACTTGGCATTCTGGAAAAAAGGGAAATTTATATACACTTGGAAGTATGAGAGAGCATAGTCCTCTGTGGGAGTGATAATTAACTTCATATAGTGTAAATGTAGGTGAAAAGTGAGAATGATAGATGATGCTGAAGAGGCAGGCCCGGGCCAGATCATGGAGTGCATTACAGAGTTTATGTAGGAGTTTTGACTTTATTTCAAGGTTCCTGAGGAATTATTAAGTGTGCTTTTAAAATATTTGTTGTGGGGAAAGTTCAATATAAACAAAGATGAAATAATATGTTGAATCCTCAGGTACCATCACTTAGCTTCTATAATTATCAATTCATGGACAGTATTATTTCTGTCCCCACCTATGACCTCCTTCCTTATATTATGTTGAAGAAAATCTCAGGAATTATATAATTTTATCTGTAAATATTTTTTAATGTGTTTTAAAAACATAAGACTTTCCTTTATGAACACAATCACATAATCTTCTCTAAAAAACATTAAAATAGTAGCATTTGATACCACTAAATATCTACTCACTGCTCAAATTTCCAATTGTCTCACTGCTCAAATTTCCAATTGTCTCACATATGCCTTTTGTTTTCTTATGCTCTATTTGTTTGAATCAGAATCCAAATAAAATTCATTCATTGTGATTGGTTGATATGACTCTTAAGTCTCTGTAAGTCCCCACCCATCTCTTTTCCCCCACTGATTTGTTGAAGAAACCAGACTATCCTATAAAGTTTCCTGGAGTCAGAATTGTGCTGATAACCATGAGGTATCAATTAACATGTTCTCTCGTCCTTGTTTCCTCTAAGTTGATAGTTGGATCTAGATGAATCAGGCATCCCTCGTACCCCACTGCAAAACTATTTTGTAGATAGTATTTTCTTTTTCCAAAATAGCAAGGTAATGTCTGGTTATCTCTCTGTTTTTAAATAGTCTTTGATGATCAATGTCTGGATCCACCATTCACTGGGAGTTGAAAAGATGATATTCTAATTTTATCTTCCTCATTTAGTGATTGGAATCTATATATATAAAAGCCTAATTGACCGTTACCACCAGTCAACTGAACGACAGGTCGACTGGTCGCTATGACACACACTGACCACCGGGGGCAGACGCTCAATGCAGGAGCTGCCCCCTGGTGGTCAGTGCGCTCTCACAGCCAACCTCCTGTGGCCGGCCAATCTGCCATGGTCCCTCTCCCCAACCAGCCCGATTGGCCCCAATTGGGACTGGGTGAGATGGCCCCAATCAGCCCTGATTGCCAGCCAGGCTGAGGGACCTCACCCATGCACGAATTCATGCACTGGGCCTCTAGTATTTTTATAAAGGGAAATTTTTCTTCACGTATTATTTTGTTACTTCTTTATATAGTTTGTGTCAGAAAAGCAGAATAAGTGATCTTTTTCTTTATTTGTGCATTTTAAAATAATAAGTTAGATCACTATCATCCTCTGATGGTTACTGGGGTTATAGAATGACCTCAGATTTTGGGCACTTCTCCTATCAAGAGTCTGGGTCTGTGTACCCTCCCCTTGAATCTGGGTGGACTTGTGAATACTTGTGAAATTGAATACAGTGGAAGTGCTTCTGTATAACTTTTGAGGCTGGACCATTAAAAATTAATTCAGTGTATGTGAAACATGGGCAATATTAATGGTCTCTAATTAATAGGAACTTTATAAATTCAGGGTAATTATTATTTAAAATGTCTCACTGCTTCATTCATTTAATATCAGTCATGAATGTTTATTGAAAATTTGTTGAACCCACAAATACTTATTGAATCCATAAATGTCACTCTTCTAGGTAAAGCTGTTATGAAACGAACCAAAAAAATGCCCACAGTACTCAGGGTGCCCACCGTTCTGTGTTGTGGGGGTAGGTGAAGGAGTAAACAAGCAACCACAGTCTGATGTGATAAATTCTAGGAGAAAGGCATGAGTGAGGATAGAAAGGAGAACTAAGAGCAGAGCAGTGCTTATAAAATGGGATATCAGCACAGATTTCCCAGAGCGGGCAGGAGTGTCTGAGTGAGAATCCAATGGCTATTTCATGGGGGGACTAGCCTGGGAGGTATGTGTGCTAGAACTGCTAATGGTGTTCAGGGTGACAATACACATGGTGAATTAAGATATAGATATGGAGATAGGGTAGAATAGTAGTTTTTAATTAAATTTATTGAGGTGACAGTGGTTAATAAAATTATATATGATACA